ATGTCATGACGCCTATACCAAAATAAAATACTAAAGGCACGAAGTACTACAGCCTCAAATCCTGGAGCCCTAAATAAATATCCTAAACCGAAGCCCAACAATGCAAACCCTAGGCCCTCACGGTCCGAGGTTTTGTTCCCTAGTGACAATGACAATCACTAAGCGGTTCTGAGCACCTGTGTAACTATTATTAAATAAATAATAACAAAGCGCTTTTTTCAGGACAAGCTGCCAAACGCGGTCCGTGTCGATGTAGCCCTCAGCAGCCTGTCTCCAAAGCGACGCTCTGTGATGAGCCACCTTGATCCTGTTGATTGTCTCCGTGCGAGCGCTGAATGACAATGACGGGTGCTGCGAGGCGTCCACCTCGGCACTCGGATTGGGTTTGAAGTATTAGTAAGTGTACACGGATTATTGAATATAGTACAGCTATTGTTAGATAAAGCAAATAGTCTATTTTATCGGATTCTATTCTTGCCAAGTTGGTCGCAGGGGCTGGCGGAGGCACCGCGCCGCAGGCGGCCTTCGCCTGGTCCAGGCGCAGCAACCGCAAGGCACACTGCTTCCAAATGTACGTGCAGTGTTGCCAATGGGCCTGAAATTATACCATGGAATCAAAAACGAAAACAGTTGCCCCAATAAAGTAATTGTTTTAGTCGAAAGCTAGTTCTAGGGACCCCAGAAAAAGGACCTAAACAAAAAGCAGATGGTTGGGAAATCCCAGCATCCCCTCTTTGAAAAACAAGATAGGGATTAAAGCTTATGTTTAAGGTGCTTCTGAATTTGGCCCGGGCACCAGAAGATCGCCCAGCGGGACGCCATCCACCAATGCCGGACCGAACACTCCCGTCCACCTATTTGGTGGAGCAGGAGGCGGCGACAATGACGATGACGAACCCGACGGCCCTGCCGCCGGCATCGGCGGCGGTGGCATCGGCGGTGGCGGCATCGGCGGCGGAGCCGCAGCCTTCGCAGGAGGAGCCGCAGTGGCAGCGGCAGTAGCAGCAGCCTTCGGTGCCTTCGGAGCTGGCACCGCTGATGAAGCCAAATATAGAGTACAACTGTTAATGATCAAAGCCCTAGATAATTGGACCAACACCTGGCCTGCGCCTTCGCCTTCTGCAGCTGCTGGTTGCTCCAATACTGGGCCTTGCGTTTGCGGTTGCTATCCTGAGTTGGACGCCAATTAAATTTTGCATTGAAAACAGAAAGAATAATGTAGAAACATCCGAAATCCCGACAAGCTGCTCCTGTGGCTGGAGCCGTGTACTTGCTATTTCTGCCCTTGGCCTTGGCAGCTGCAGGAGGTGCCCCAGTGGCTGCCCCAGTGGCAGCCTTGGCAGCAGGTGCTCCAGCGGCAGCCTTTGCCGCCTCACTGCCCCCAGCCTTCGCAGTCGTGCCCAGATCCATTGGCTGAAACTTCTAAGACAATGACGGTGCCTAGCAGACTGCGTGCGGCAATGTTAAAGACAATGACATTGACTAACTTTAGAGCGAGTGCCAAAGAGCGAGTCTCTCGAATCCTGTTGGATTACCCCTACTCTTGGGGTTTAAGATTTAAGGTTTAAAGCAGTGGGCTTTGAGACCCTCAGCCCTAGCCTAAGGGCCTAAGTCTGTTGCAAACGGCGACTCACATATGTCACCTTCTCGAACCCAAAGGGCGCTGCGTGCAGTCAGGGGGTTCATGCTCTCAACAAATAAGCATGCGACACTTATTGGAAGATTCTGACTCTACATCAATTGACCCAGTCACCCATTCGCACTTACCAGGTTCCCGTGGGAAATCAAAAGGGTTTCGGGTTAATTCCTCCAAGGGTTCAGTCACTAGTTACTCAAATCTAATGGGGTTTAGAGCTTAGGGGCTTGGGTGCCCAAACAATGAACCCTGAAACACGGTCCTCGCTCGTCTCGATGCTGCCGGGGCCGGAGCAGCAGAAGCCACCTCTGTCATGTGCTTCAGGGGAGCGCGGGGTTCCAACGATCGTACAGTCAGTGAGGATTCATTTCTCTTTATTTATTGTGGGGCCTTACAATGGCTGGTTGCTATTCACGAACCTCGGGCACCAGAGCCTTCCACAAATTTAGGGCACAGGGCCTTTAGGGTTCCAGGTTGAACGCAGCAATGTGTAGCGATAAGATTGATATCAATTAAAATTTGTAGAACCCCGAACCCTAGGCCCTAAGCTGCAAAACCAGACACCGCAGCCCCTCGCAAGCCAAGAAAAGCCCAGGACTGACTGAGGCTCCGGCAGATTGACAATGACCATGTGCTGCCGGGTGGCCTGTTCAAGCAGAGTCAAGATTAAAAAAAGGCGAGAGTTTCCCCTGGGGGGATACTCCATAAAAGAAAGACACACACACACACACACTCACATCGGCAAGCCCACTCTGTGTCTGTCTGGTGGTGAGACGGTGCGAGGGTGGTGCGAGGGTAGTGAGTGAGTGAGTAAGCGTGAGAGAGAGAGAGAGAGAGAGAGAGAGAGAGAGATAGAGAGAGAGAGAGAGAGAGAGTGTGTGTGTGTGTGTGTGTGTGTGTGATTGAGCGAGCGAGTGAGTAAGTGAGTGAGTAAGTGAGTAAGTGAGTGTGAGAAAGAGAGAGAGAGAGAGAGAGAGAGAGAGAGAGAGACTGAGAGAGAGTGTGAGTGTATGTGTATGTGTGTGTGTGTGTGTGATTGGATGAGCGAGCGAGTGAGTAAGTGAGTGAGTGTGAGAGGAAGAGAGAGGAGTGTGTGTGTGTGTGTGTGTGTGTGTGCGAATGAGTAAGAGAGCGCACGGGTGGGTGGGTGTGGGTGGGTGTGGGTGTGGCTAGGTGTGGGCGAGTTTGGGTGGGTGTAAGTGAGTGGGTGAGTGTGAGAAAGACAGTCAGAGAGAGTGTGTGTCTAAGTGTAAGTGTATGTGTGTGTGATTGAGTGAGCGAGCGAGCGAGTGAGTAAGTGAGCGAGCGTGAGACGGAAGAGAGAGAGAGAGAGAGAGAGGAGTGTGTGTGTGTGTGTGTGTGCGATTGAGTAAGAGAGCGCACGGGTGGGTGGGTGGGTGGGTGGGTGTGGGTGTGGCTAGGTGTGGGCGAGTGTGGGTGGGTGTGGGTGAGTGGGTGTTAGTGGGTGTGGGTGTGGGTGAGTGTGAGTGGGTGAACCGGGCCGAAGGCACCGGTACCGTGGCCGAAGCCACGGTGTGCAAAACGAACCGGGGCCGAAGCCACCAGTGTGCAAGACGAACCGGGGCCGAAGCCACCGGTACCGTGGCCGAAGCCACGGTGTGCAAGACGAACCGGGGCCGAAGCCACCGGTACCGTGGCCGAAACCACGGTTTGAAAACCGGGGCCGAAGCCACCGGTACCGTGGCCGAAGCCACGGTGCACAACAAGCAAACCCAACCCAAACCCTGACCCTGAACTGGGGCTCCCGGCCAGGCAGGCAGGGTGAGGGCTTTTAGGGTTTAGGGGGCTTAGGGATGAGGGTATGTCTTCCGCACAGATCAGCTGCCAAAAGAAGCAACGTTAATCAGAAACTCACATGATGCAAGTTTCAGTCTCACGGAGTAAAATGACATTAAGTAGTGGTATTTCAAGATCACCGAAGCTCCCACTTATGCTACACCTCCCATTACATGGTTATTTATTGTGAGGGCTTTTAGGGTTTAGTAAGGGCTGAGGGTTTGGGCTCTTGGGGTTCAGGGGCAGATCGTATGACTAATATTTATTACATGGTTTATGGTTTTGGGTTAAGAGGATGTTGACCAGGGTTTGAGTCTAGTATCCCGCACTGGCGGTGTCTTTCTCTTAGGATCGACTAACCCATGTGCCACAAATTCAACTGGAGCCCTTCACTTCAGCCTTATCAAAGTTCTCACTCTGAATCACTGAAAGCCGGGTGCCGATTGAGGCGCCGACACTGCCCGAAGCTTGCGAACTGTATGTTCTCGTCCTGTCGATCGTGATCAGGCAAGAACGTAACATGGTCTGAAAAAACCGAGCCTTGGATTCGGTGGCTTTCATACCTGCATGAAGGGCCCGCGATGCAGACAATGACAAGCATGAGTTGGCTGAGCAGTCGACCTCTGCCATCTCGCCAGTCTCACCTGCTGCATTGTATGTTAAGGTTTAGGGTTTAGTGTAAGTGTAGGGTTCAAGGGTTTGGGTCTAGCGCATTTTTATTGCCTGGGCACTGACAGTGACAGTGACGCTTAAAATAAAGTTTAAAAGCTCAGGGATTTCTTCTACACTGGCACAAATGAGCCCTTCCCCACTTCAAAATTCCTTCTCAGCACTTGAACCCCCCCAATTTCTGCAAAGCCGGGTGCCGTGCAAAAGAAAGCCACAGCAGCGAGATGCCGAGCCTGCAGCGAGTCTAGGGAGGGTGCAGACTCAAGCAATGCATTTACTATCCCGTCCTGCCCCCCCCCCCCCGCAGTCACTGATGCATGTGGCAATTACCAAACAGCAACTGTTGCCCCCCCCCCCCTCACACCAGATAATCATGGAAGCTTACCTGTCAAACCCAAAGCAATGACTGAATCTCAGGCTCCGGCCGGTTCTTCGTCGTCAGCAGCCGCGGCGCAGGGGACGATTCGTCTCGTCGTCGAACGAAACGACGATAACGTTCTCATGACGACGTAGGTCCAGGGGGGACGAACGAAACCAAAACACAACGAGGCTGCACTGACATCATGACATGACAATGACACAGGACATCATGACATGACACTGACACAGGACCAAAAACCCAACATCAAAATGTGATGTTTAGGCTTTTCTAAACGCGGCCGTATAGCAAACCTTGCCATATGTCGCAACAGAATGCCATGGTAAAACTGAAAGAAAGGAGAGTGAACCATAATTCTCCGACACGAACGAACAAAGGAAATACGAGGAAACAGCACTTCTGTCGTTCCCGCTGCTGTGATATCTAACCTATTTGAAAAAAACAAAAGCCCGAGAATGAACCCTAAACCCTAGCCACAACCCGACGACCCCCCCCAAATTCACAAAACTGCTCACAGGCCTGCTAATCCACTCCTGCACCTCCGCCTCCTTCCGCACCTGTGACAGGCAGCTAGGTTTAGGGTTTAGGGTTTAGAGAGTTTAGGGTTTAGGGTTTAGGGGAGCAACCGTAACTTTAACCCCGCCCTCCACTCCCAAAGCCCAGAGTATCAAACGAGCTTTACAGGATCGGTTTTACGCCCGAATATGAGCCCTCAGCCTTAAATTAAAACACCTAAAACAACAACTATCAACCCAAAACAGTAGAACCCTAAAAACCTACAAACAACAACCATCCACCCTAAACCCGAGAACCCTGAATCACTGAAGCCCCCATCAACAAATATCAACCCTAAACCCTACCCTAGAACCCACAAAAAGCTAAACAACAACTATCGTGCAGAAACGTCAGAGTTCGACTGCAGGGCTTCCTGAGCTCTGAGCGATCGATGGCCCCAAATCCTAAGCAGTCGCAAGACTTCGACACTAGTAAGCTGCCATCTAGTACCTTTACAGTGCCCTTATATGGTAAACTTCTGGTACCCCTGTCCCCAAACCCTAAACCCTAAAACCCCCTAAAAGGCTAAACCCCGTACCCCTGAGCCCGATACACCCTAAACCCTGATAGAACCCTTACCTGGGCTCATAATTGGTGCCCTTTAAGCAACAGGTCCCCCAAAAAGCATGATTAAAGTATGGTACTCCCAAGCCCAGCTACTTTAAAGAAGCCTAAACCCTAAACCCCTTAACCCTGAACCCGATACACCCTAAACCCTGATAGACCCTAAACCCTAAACCCTTTATAGAACCCTTATAGATCCCTTTAAGGAACTTCCAGGGTTTAGGGGATAGTACCCTTACTTTAACGAAGCCTTGAGCCGACGTCCATTGATGGTCGTCAGCTTCCAGCCCACCAGCGCCTGCCCAGGATCGTTGAGGGTCTTGTGTTCGGGGCTTTAGGCTTTAGGGTCTTTTCTTTTTTTTTAAAGTTGGTTTAGGGTTTAGAGTTCAGGGTTCAGGGTTTAGGGCTTTAGGGTTTAGGGGGCTCAGGAGCAAGCTTTAGAGTTCAGGGTTGAGAGCTTTCAGGGCTCTGGGGTGATTGATGGGTTTCGGGTTTCGGGATGATTTCAAGCCTGTGTGGCGCCGTCTCTCATTCCCTCAAAAAATCAAGCCCCCGAGCTATAATCCAAAACTGACAAGTAACGAGCTGGCAGCGCATGCAGAATGGCTTGATCTGTAAACTGTGGGACGGGTGGACTCCCACATGGCCTGCTTGCACGCGCCCATCAGACTAAAACCCCTTAAACCCCCACCTTAAGTCGAAAGATGTGAACCCTCAAACCTCAAAGCTTGAAAGCCACACACCCCCAATCTTTAAACCCAACCCAAAACACGTAAGTCGAAGAGACTGCAGCTCGCTTTGTAAGTGTCCGAGCTCCCCGTCCCGGCCTTGCCACGAACCTCGGCCATCCAGCTTTGTCTGACGAAGATCATGAGAAGGAAGGAGGAAGAGATAAGTCGTCTTCCCAATAATGACTAGATGACTAGAACTTCAGTATTGCTGGTACAAGCTATCACTCATTGTCATACTGTTGTCATCCGAAGCACACCGGCATAGTCTGAGTCTGCCCTGCCTGCTGCAATACCAAAGAAACCATCATGAATGAAGCACACACCTATGCATACACGTGTTTATGTCTACATAATACGACATCTACATCACGCAAACGAACTCAGAAAACATTTGGCTCGTGGTTATCAACCTAACGTAGTGCTTGTCGTTCTTCTCCGCACGTTCGGACTCTCACCACAAGCTACGCAAATGCTAATAGGATCCTTGCTATTCGCACTCTGAAAAACAAGCAATCCCCCGCGGCCTCTCTGTGTGTGTGTGCGCGTGTGTCTAAGCCCTACACACTAAACCCGAATCCCTGAACCCTGTAAGCCCGAGTCCCTATGCCAAAGAGCCGGCGAGTCCGGCATCAAACCGGCCAGGTGCACGACGCTGCTCTCATCCACCCGGAAGACCTCAGAACAAGTCTCTGTTGGACAGGTCTTAATAGGTTTCTTTCCGAAAACTGGGCTTCGATTGTAGCTTCCTGGGAAGAAAGTTATTGTATGTTTGTAAAGATGGTTTGCATCGGCTGTTTGTTTTTGTTTTTTTCGGAAGTTGGGTTTTGAGCTGTTTCTGAAAAGAAAACATACTTGTCCTGAAGCATTGGTTTAGGGCTAAAGCTCTGGAAGGGCTTAGGACTCTGGGATTCTAGGGTCAGGGATATGGGGGTTTATGCTAGTAGGGTTTAGGCTTCTCATTAGGGTGTGAGGGTCTAGTGCTTTCGGATCCCAGCACGATGTGAGAGACTTTCGATTTTTTTGGGCTTCGAGGTGTTTGGGGTTTGCGGGGGGCTGTGGGACAGCTTCATGAAAGCTGTTCTGTACTGATGCGTTAGGGCTATGAGTTCTTATCGGATTTAGTGATCTAGAGGCGCCTGACCCATGCAATGTGCTGTCATGGCTGCTAGCCCTGCCATGCAGCGAGCTGGACTTGCGATTTACAGGCGGAAGAGCCCAAAACAACAAGCCTCATGCCAAGGCGGAAGACTTGAGCTTGGGCGCGGGGAAGCAGGCCAACAAGCCTCCACTCTCAACGTCTTACCACCTCTACACTAAACCCTCTTGGAGCCCTCAGCCTCAGACCTGAACCCCAGACCGTAAACATCTGTGGTTAATTAGTCCTTCTGCTTGTCCCAAAGTAACCCTGAGAGTAACTCCTACAGTCACCCTTAAGTAAATCCGAACCATACAATCGAGCACCCTTGATTGAATCCTATACGTGACGTCCCGCCCATAAATATACCTAAACTCTTCACAGACAGAAAGCAATAATAATAATAATAATAATAATAATAACAATAAGAATAATAACAATAGTGACGCCAATAAGCCCTGAAAGCACCTCCTATAAACCGTGGACCCTCAACTACTCTATAAACCCCACGTCCCAAAAGAAAACTCACCCAACAACAGCTCATTGCAGCTTCAGCAGCCATGCCCAGCTCCTTGTACTTGGAGTAGCCTGATGATCTTGCTATTTTTGAGGGTATAGGGTTTAGGACTGTTTTTCAGCTTTAGGGCTGTGCTATTTTGTTGAAGGGATACGGTTAGGGCTGCTTTGGGTTTCGGTGCTTTGGGGTTTACACGGTTCGAACAGCCTGTTGGGTTTCGGTTAAGGGTAATCCTGGCCGTCCCCACAATTCTCAATCGAGACCTCAACCGGTGACCACCTTCATCTTCCTGTGGTGGACTGGGTTTCGGGGATCGTGGCAGTTCTGGATCTCGGGTTGCGGTTCAGGGCTTTAGTGCTTTTGCTGGGAGGCAGCATCTTTGAGTTAAGGGAAAATTGCAACTTGTCTTCAAGGTCTTGAGGCCTCTACAGTTTGCGTCATGATCTCCAGGCTTCTATAGCATATAGTCCGCATGTCTCACAACATAGTGTACACACATGAATGCAAACATGCATGCAGCACAATACCTGACCTTACACTACATGAAATTACATATACGGTTAAGTTACATACACAGGTAAATACATGCACACGTCCATAACTTCGAGCTCCAAAAAGCACGTGGTTTTGGTGACCCGGTGATTACACCCACAGACGTCGCTCTTCCTTATACCTATGGGATACATCCCGAGTGTTGACTATGCATATATTTCTAGTAAAAAACTTTGGCGTTAAAGTGTCTCGTAGAAGAGAAGCACAGTACTCTAACGTCAAATACTGTACAGATACATGGACAATGCTACAACCCTAAACCCTAATGCGACTCCTGCCGAAGGGCTATAGCTGAGACCCAGCTCTTGCTTGTGGATCGTGATAGCTTTGCCTGAGTGACAAAGAGTGGCAAATGGGTGCTGAGGACCTTGAAGACTCATAATACGGTTTGGGGGTTTAGGGTTTAGGATAACGTAGAGTTGTGGGGCGTGCAGAGCCTGAATGCAGATGATTCTGGACTTTTTGGACAGAACGGAGCTAAAACAGAGATTGAAGCCCTGAACGTAACCCCTACAAGCCGAAACTCGAACCGACAAACTCCTCATGCCAAACCCTCCTGAACCTGAAACTCCAACCTCTGAAACTCTGAAACCTGAACCCGCCCGGCATACCCTGAAACAACCCCCTTTTACATAAACAGTAATGCCACTGTAAACCACAACCCCAAATCCAAGTACCCACAACAAGGACCAAGTCTCGCCAAGAGACGAACCTACAGTTCACAACTCTCCTCAGCCCCAATTCACACTCTTATCGAAACCTTACTTATTCGGTACTGTGAACATCTTTAGACCCTTAAGAACCAGCACGTACCTTCAATCTTTGCAGGACCTTCATAAACCCCTGGTCGAAACTTTCTAGAGCTCTGCCCTACAAGTACAACCCTACATAAACTCTAAAACCCTAACCCCTAAACCCTAAACCCCTAACCCCTAAACCCTAAACCCCTAACCCCTAAACCCTAAACTCCTAACCCCTAAACCCTAGACCCTTAAACCCTAAAGCCCAAACGGTCCCAAGAGTCGGAGCTCCGACTTCTTCTTGGCCTTTGCGAAGACGTTGCTCTTCTTCAGCGGGGCCACGACGTACCTCAAAGAGTTCAGGGCACTCGGGTGTGACCCTAAGGCTCTAAATGGCCCAAAAGCCTTACAAAAGATGGCAAAAGCCTCAAAATATGAGTCCTTAGAGCCTTAGGGTTAGGGTGTAGGGCTTTCGGGTTTATAAGGTCTTAGTTTATAGTAGTGCTCTTGGGCTTTGGGGCATTAGGGTTTTGGGCGTTAGGGGCTTTAGGGTCTTTAGGGGTAGTGCTGTAGGGATTCGGGTTCGGGGTTGAGGCCCGAAGTCCTTGCAACACCGCAGGACTTGGTTCCAGGGCTTTGGGTTTCAACTTTTGAGCTTATGGCTTAGGGTTTAGGGTTTAGTAGGGTTTAGGGTCTAGGGTTGTGTGTTGGGGTTAGGGTCTAGGGCTTCGGGTTTAGGGTTTACAGAATCCAACTCGGATAGCATCCACCGGTAGCTATGCTGACTAAACTACTGCTCAGACGCAACACCATAGTTCTTGTAGGTACAATGACGGGTAACAAACACAGACCTCTAGAGACAAATCAAAGAAGTCTGCATGGAAAGCGCCGGCCGGTCGAAGCAATATAGAGGCCCGAACAATTAGAATAGGGCTGTAAGATATATTCTGGTACAAGTATACTCAGGAACCCTGGTAAGCTTTCAGGCGTTTACATTCGGGTCGGTTGCGCTTTCGTCGCAGATGCAGTCTGAACATCCCTGGTGGTTGCAGCAAAGTGTCGTTTGGACGGCCTTCAAGATGTCCCGCTTGAAGACGATGTCCTGACTTTCATGCACTTTGGAATCACGCGTTGAGGTCTTCTCATGCGTGCGATACTGCAACAGGCTTAGTTGTGCATTTTCATGTCATGACTCTATTTTGCCTACCATGCATCTCTTGAAGCCTGAACTTGACGAATCCGGACTCAGCCGCCTGCCTAGACCTTTTCGCCGCAGGACGAAAGCGACCTCTAGCCGAAGCCCTGGCAACTCACTACACTCGTCATGCATCCCTACCCAGTTTCTCAGCATTGAGACTTTGCATAGGACATACTGGTACCAGTGATACTGCAAAGTCAGACGGCTACTCCTACCAGCGCGAGTACGAGGTGGATGACAAGGACACGTCGATCAACCCACTAACCCCTAGACCCTGAACTTCAAAATCCATGACACCGCAATCCTAGAATCCGAAATCCTAGTCCCTGAACCTGGAATCCTAGGCAGAATATCCTGGACCCCTCAGCTCTGAATCCCAGACCCCAGCATAAACCCATGACCTGAGTGTGGACGAGCAGTAAGTCAACTGGAGCTGAGGCTTTAGGGTTTGTGGGCTGTTGAGGAGGTTGTAGGCTTACGGTGTTTGGGCTTTCTTGTTTATCAGGGGGGGGGTGGATGGAGGCGTTGTGACTTACACAACTTTCTATGCACCAGCAATGTTGGGACTGAAGTTCCTGCATTGGGGGCTTGCGGCCTTTGGGGCTAGGCTTTAAAGTGGTCGGAAGCAAGCGGCTGCATTGAAGCGCATGAAGAAGGCGAAGAACACCTGGCAACAGCTCAGCACAAGCATCCTAAGCCACACAACATGGTCGTTCAAACGTTAAACTGTGTGACTTACAGAAGCCTATATATGACTGAAGTGCAAACACACACGCACACACAGACCCGAGACTGGAGGCAGCGATCCCATAACCCAAGCAGGAGATTCAGGCAATCATATCATCGTTGGCAATGGCATGGCTGTCATCAGCACCATCATCAAAACACAACCGTGCTCTCATTGCGAGCTTATGTTCTAAAGCCTCTGCGAACTCCGCAAGCCCACCGATCCCAGGATTTGTTCCCGTACGCCTTAGACGGGCTCCTGCATAGATATAGGGATTTGGGTTTAGGTACCCTACGGCCGAAGTATATACTACAAAGGTAAATGGTACCCCAGGCCGAAGATGAAGTATATACTGCAAAGGTACATGGAGCCTTAGGGCTTAACCATAGGCCCCATCGTAGTTCCTTTCAAGGGTTCATATTTCGAATCCTATTATATAGGTAATACCAACAAGGAACTACTATGTGGCCTATGGGTAGTTACCTACTATGATTTCCTTATATAATGTCCTTAAAAAGCTAGGTTATGTGGGGTTAAGGTAGGGCTTCGGTAGTCCGAAAGGTACGCCCCGAAACCGGCATCTCCTGAACCCACCTTTAGCTGCAGCTCAGTGGCCAGGCAGCCGAAAGAGCCGATAACGCTAAAGATGGCCATAATGATCCTGGGCACGATGAACCCCAAACCTTGAACCCAACATGCAAAAACACCGAAGGCGCAATAAGCCCTGAACCCTATAAACAACGTAAGCCCTATTAACTTTAAACTGGCTCAACATGGCCATTGTAGTCCTCGGCTGCCAAGCTTTCTGGTCATAGGGGTGCGAAGGATTCACTTCATATCTTTCTGTTGCTGTCCTTTTGGCTTAAGGTGGGAGGGGCACTGTTTGTTTCGGGTTTAGGGCTGTCGGCTCGGGGGTCTTGACTTAGCGTGGATTTCTAGATGCAGAGAGGTTTCCTGAGCCTATTACTGACGTTCGATGAACGTAAGGTGCAATGAGATCTGCAATCCCTATAAGCACTCTTAAACACAGTTGCCCTTAGGTCGAAGGCACATTCCGATCACTTGCGCCTCGCCACAGGCGTCGCAGAGGCCGGTGCCGGCCTCTGTAGGCTTTTGATAGATACAGGTACTGTTATAGGGGGTCCCTTCCCAAATCATAGTTGTATAGACCCTTCATTCTGCTGTCTGTATAGGTACTTAGGACCCTTTGGGATGTAAACTGGAGCTGGCTCTATCAAGCTTGAACGAAGCGAACACTACATAGATGCAAAAGTAACAAGGTCCATGAATGCATGAAACCATGGTGGGTACTCATGAACCTGACAACGACAAGAACAGTTCTGTATCATCCAGGCGGCATTCTTGAAGTAGCCGAAAACGCACTCCGAGCATGCGGAGGACTTATACTCCTCGAGAAGCTTTGGCCTAGACATGACCCATTAAGAGTGGCTTCCTCGTGGAAAACGGGGTCTTTCACCCGGCACTTCATCACTGGGGGCTTTAGGTCACTAACTATAATGATACTCTATATAAGAGTACTACAGAGGTTGCTCTAAGGCTTCAGAATAAGAGTTGCTAAACATTGTTACTATAAGGTTACAAGGGCTGCGATTAGAAACTAGAGTTGCAGACACTTGGTACGGCATGCGCCAGAATCAGGCATCAAAGGCCCAACCCGGCACTCTGAGGCCTCAGCTTTACATCTCGTGTAGCATGCAGCTTGGCTCCGTAGATGCAGCCAGCCCAGAAAACTTAGAGCCCCTAAACCGTCAACCCTTAACTCAATCCACGAAACCGTTCGAAGCTAAGCTCTGAAGGCAAGGACGCGTCAGGGTCCTTGCTGCAAACGTTGCCAGGGCGGCAAGCCGTCTTGGGAGTACACCTTGCGTTGCAAGGGCCCGGTTGCACAAACGGTGGAAACAGCAGGCTCGGTCTTGCGTTCAACCCTGTGGATCTAAGGACTCATATATTCAGGCTTTTGGGTCCAAAGACCATGCCACATAAGGCTTTTGGGCTATTTTGATCTCTATAGGGCAAGGCGAAAAATCCTGCACCATGAAATCGCTACGCGTTCATCCCTAGACTTAGACTCCAAGCCCCTCAGAAGCGACTTCGATCGTAGAGCTGCGCAATCCGAAGACACGCCCTGCCTGTCGGCCCACGTGAACCCTGTACCCCCGAAGAGCCTCATCCCCCAGAGACCCTTTATACCCGAACACCACTCTACAAGCTTTTTATGCAACCCTGAAGCCCTCGCCCCCTAGACCCTAAAGCCCCTGAACCCTGGCCTTTGCATCGTGGGCTTAAAGGCTTCAAGACCCGTGATCTGCGAGTCGATGGAGGTGCGCCTCTCAAGCTTGGGGCTTTAGTGTTAAGGTTCAAGGGTTTAGGGCTTAGCAGGGCTTATGGGGCTTGCCGGTGATTAAGCCCAAAACCCAAAACCCCAAACCCTTAAACCCTTAAGGTTTGAGGATTTAGGGCGAACAAGGCTTATGTGGTTTACAGGTGTTTTAGAGTTTCAGCAAGCTTGGGGTTTTCAGCTTTCCCTGTCGGGCTCCGGTTAGCCAAATACTTGGCTACCTACCAGGCTTACAGAGAGTTTCCTAAAGCAGGGCACCCCTAATATAGTACCCTACATAGTAGGATCTTTGTTGTAAGGATACTCAATTAAGGCCCCTATTTTCGGAAACTCCCAAATTGCCCAACTGGGCCTCAAGTGCCAAAACGTTCGCTTGGCCCGAGGCCAGACTGTGCCGCCAGGGCAATACGTCTTGCCTCGGAATTGCCGGGTCTGGGGTTTTAGGCTTTAGGGTTTAGGGCCACTTTAGGGTTTAGTGGTTCAGTGTTTATAGGGTTTAGGGGCCAGTTTACGGTTTCGGGGTTTAGGGTCTTGGATTTTAAGGTTTATAGGGTTTAGGGGCCAGTTTAGGGTTTAGGGGTTTAGGGTCTTGGATTTTAAGGTTTATAGGGTTTAGGGGCCAGTTTAGGGTTTAGGGGTTTAGGGTCTTGGATTTTAAGGTTTATAGGGTTTAGGGGCCAGTTTAGGGTTTAGGGGTTTAGGGTCTTGGATTTTAAGGTTTATAGGGTTTAGGGGCCAGTTTAGGGTTTAGGGGTTTAGGGTCTTGGATTTTCGGCTTTATAGGGTTTAGGGGCCAGTTTAGGGTTTGGGGTTTACGGGTTTAGGGTCTTGAGTTTTAGGCTTTAGGAACTTTAGGGTCTAGGCGGGATAACAGGTTCGGTGAAGCCGCCGGTGACGAATGGGGGCTTAGTATTCAAAAGTATCCAGGGTTCGAAGCTTTCCCTTGAGCAGATTGCGTGTGTCAGTATAGGATTGGATAGTGCAGCTAGCGATGTTAGGACGCTGAACCCTTTACGCGAAGTGAAGGAGGCTGAGTTTGATATTGCCTCGAGCGCCACGATCGGCCGCCAAGCACAAGGTTTAAAACCGGACTCCAAGATATCCAAAGCCTGGTCGAGGCTATTCCTAGGGGAAAGAAGGCTTCACACATTCTAATGCTTGGGTTTGTCACTGAAGGCAGGCTAATTTTCTGGTCGTGCAGGAAGTGCCGCCCATGCTGAGCGAATCACATAAGTTCGCGACAAGGGGCAGATCCTCAAGTCGACGGATGTCGTCGCAACGTTGACCTCTAGATCTCGAGACCGCAAGTGTCTCGTGGCTCTTTTGTTTATTCCTGGTGTGAATACCTCGATGTCTAGGAAGTGTTGTCATGGATGACGGTAGGTAGCATGCACATAGGCAGCATCCAGTATAATACTGTTCCGTGTGAGGGCCCTGCAGATAGCAGTTCTGCCAGTAGAGCGGGCAGACGAACTTGCACAGGATTAGCCGGATTAGCTGTAGATGCCGCTTTGGATGCAGAAGGGCATGTCTTGCGGTATATCGCAGCGAGAGAAATCTGCGATTCGTGGCTTTCCTGCAGAGTCTCCAATCACTGCAAACAGGTTGAAACTCTACACATTGCCGGAGACATCGAAACCTAGAAAGTCCGCTGTAGACAATCACCCATCTTGTGGACCGCTGATCGCAACTGTCATGTCACGGACCTCACATCGACGCAAACTTCTGTTGGTATGTTTTTACGAAAACCAGGATTTCAATTCATACTTGAGACTTTCTACCAGGCCACGCAAAGATCTTCCTCCTCAGCAGTGCAGAGGTCTCCGACGGTGAAGCCATTGTCCTGATTCTCTTCAGAAGCTCTGAAGATGAGGGTTGAGGGTTTAGGGTTTGGGGTTTAGGGTTGCAGTTAAGGTGTAGGGTTTGAAGATGTTCAGCATGCTGTCGAGGGGTTCTAATGGGGGGGAGGGAACGCGTGCCCTGAATACAGCTGTCCGGTTGCATAGAGACGGGCTACATGTCAACTTCTGAGGCCTACACCCTGAACCGGTAACCTGAAACGTCTACTTCGCTAGACCCGAGCTGCAACACCCATCAACTCCAAGCCCTGATCCGTAAAGACGTCGTCAAGCTTCCAACCTATCTCTGGATGATACAGCCATACGCTGCACTCTATACAAAACCCGAACCCCAAACTAAACTAGACCCCCCCAAACCCAATCTAAAGCCTGAGCCCGATGAACCCATACCCTAACCCCTAAAACCCTAAACCCCCAAACCTCTAAACCCGACCCTAAACGGCCAGCCCAGGTGCCCCACAAAACTCGTCCGAGTCAGGCAGCTGCATGAGCTCCTTCCCAGAGGGTCCATATATACTACAATTGTGGAATGAGGACCCCCAAACCATAATCGGGACGGTTTTTTAAACCCTCTGAGCCTGCAACAAGAAACAGGAGGATTCCCCTTGTAGGGCTTATGTTGGTCTTCGGGCTTTAGGGTCTGGGCTTTGCGGTTTGGGATTTGGCGCTTTTGGGGGCTTGGGGGGTTGTTTTTTTGGTCAGGGGGTTCGAACAGTTCGAGGAGGAGTTAGCTTGGGGTTCGGCGTTCTGAGTTACTGGGTCAGGACTTGGGACAGAAAACCCAAACCCTCAATGTAGTTAGTACATTTTATGGCTAGGATGCTATAACAAGAGAGAAAGGAACGGGTACTATTTTTAAGAGGGCCCCAGAGCGCCAGCATAGAGAACAACCTGACTCAGCCGAAGGCTCCGTATCGTGACATCCGATGCATGCCGTGCCCGGCACGGTGCTGCCAGTGGTCTCATTGTAGTAGGAGGAGTAGTAGCCAGGTAAACCTTGGTATATGTACATGGAGCATCCGGTTCCTAAACCCTATGACCCTTAAACCCTAAACCGGGGATGTCTTGTGGGATCTGGTGCTTGATCATAGCAGCACTAGGATCGATGGCTTCTGGCTGTTCTACACCGGCCTTTGTGTTAAGAAGGAAAACAAGCTGTTCCGGACTGAAACCCTGCACAAATGGGAAGCAGGAGGACCGTCGGAACTAAGATATTCACCTTCTTTTTGGGGGCCGGGGGGCGGGGTTCTCTGAAGTAGGCTCTAAGTCGGAAGGCTTTTTAAGGGTGCCTCATTATAAGAGTGACGCCGTGCTTTGTCAGACTGACACTTGGTTTGGAATCCAAACAAGGGGCCGGGAGGAGTGTAGGAAGTTGAAAACTTAGTACTATGAAGCCGTTAGCAGCACAGGCAGTATATGCCCTTTGCAATCGCACCTCACCCAACAACCAGCTGGGCTTCTGCTCCTTATCCTTGCAACGACCATTCTAGCCAAGGCGCAGGTGCAGTCCTGAATCTCGCCTGTGGGGTTGCGACTGGGAATGCAGCTTGTTCCCCCTCCCAGAAACCTTGACGCCATAATCCAAAGCTTCAACGCGACACTGTAGAACACTCGGCCCTGGCATCTCTCTGTGGCAGCTTGGGCTGTTGGGTGTCTGACAGGATCCAAGTTCACCCAACGACCTGATCTCATATGTCTCCCCAAACGTCCATGTTACCCGCGTAGTTTTACGTCTTAGCCGGCTTTAAAATTCTACTAGTCTAAGCTCGTTCCTGCGACTAAGGTCTACATTGTCATCTGTTAGGAAATGTTGGCCCGCAGACTTTCGGAGTTGGGTCGAAACCAGCTACAGCCACAGCCTGAACTCAGCGCAGCCAAGCCGAGTTTCGGAATGGTTCCGGACCATGCAGCTGATATTAGGTGACGAAAAGCTACAAAGCTCTCACCAGCATCTTATCGGCTGCACTTTCTGTGTAGCTACAAGGCCTGCTGCCGGTCTACTACATCTCCGACACGAGACGGCACCCGCCGTTCATGGACAGACTCTTTGTCCGAGAAATGCAATGAAGTAGGGACCCCCAGAAGGATATAAGCGTACGCATTTTATGGGGAAATCCCTACCTTCTTGGGCTTCATTATAAGGAGGTTTATATGGGGGGCCCTATGAAGACTTCGGTGAGGAGAGCTCGCGCAGTCGGGTAAGGGCGGGATGGTGTGTGGAACTCTTCAAACTTGAACCGAAAGCCCTCAACCCTGGCGTACAAGAGTAATCACAGCGGTACACCCAAAGCCACTGCCCAGAGACTACGATATCCCATAATTATTAAGGGATATACCTCATATTCTAGAAGGGCTCCTACTATAATTGAAGGCATATTCCTTAATTATGGGATATTGGAGTCTCTGGGTGTTCACCAGCCAAAGCACTCGCAGCTTCAGGCGAGACCGTGTTGGAGGGACAAGCCTGCAAGGCGAATCAGGCGAAACTGGAAGCTATGAGTGCCCATGGTTTGGTGATTTAGAGGTTTAGGGTTTAGGTTTAGGGATATGGGCCCAAACAAGTAATTGGGACCCATCAGGATGCCGGCAGAATTGAAAGAGCTTGCTAGGTGCAGGATTTTCTAGACTGTGAGTTGTCAGGTTCCCCGAACCTTATAACCAAAAATCCGAGCCGGCGCCTAACCCGAACCCCAAATATTCAGGATGGGCCGGGCTGTGTAGGGTTCCTTGAAACGTGCTTTACGGGATCTATCGGGGACGGCAAGAAGCTGAAAGATATGTGGGGAATGACTCAGTAGAGAAAGGTCCCGGGCATATATGGGAGCTTCCGAAATTTAGGTGTACCTTATTTTGGGGTCCTTATAATATAGGGATCCGACCATTTAGGGTACTAGATTAGGGTCCTCTATTTTCGAAGTCTCCCGAAAATCGTTTAGGGACTAGGAGTATGCTGTTTTTGTTACCCGTTACCCATTACCCAGACCTTTTCATTCGACTCCCTTCGGCTGTGAAAGTGCCCACACTGCAGGTCCCAGTCCAAGTATACGAATCTACATAGAGCCTAGCCGTTACGTTGCATTTGGGAGTTTCCAAAGCAGACCCTGAATATCATACGAGGAGACTTGCAACGGAGACCTCAGAAAGGAATCCATTGGCTTCGATTTCCCTGGAACCAACCAAGGTGAAGACAAGCTCTGCCCCAGTGCTCCTCTTAGGCCCAAAGATAATCATCTTGTCCTCAAACTATGTGTAACCTTTTCGGGGCTCCTTACATCTCATGAGGAACCCGTTGTCGCTTTTTTGTTTGGCGGTTCATTGCTGTTCCATTGCTTTTGGTAACCCTCAAACACATGGACTATACACTCTAAGCCTGCTGGGGCTCCCCGGTCAGGAGTTTTACGTGGTTTAGGACTGGGGCTTTCAATCACAATGCGCAGCGCCAGTCTTATCAATGTGTTTTCCAGCTCACATCTGAGTGACATGCGTGCTGCTGGCTACTCTTGCAGCTATACTTATCCGGCAATATCTGTTGCACCTGGCATTCAGACTGCCGCTCTTTGGCAACGACAGGCCTTGCAGTTCACTGCGCCTTCGCTATTTTGATACGTCCCTCTTGCCTGGGCTCGGGGTTCAGGGCTCAAGGTTCCCAGAGCCTCCAAAACCCCTTAATTAAGGAATATACCTTAAATTATAATAGGATCCCTCTTATGATTTAAGGCATATTCCTTCATTACAGGGTTTTGGAGGCTCTGGGTTGTTCAGCGGCTGGAGCTTCAAAGTTTGGTTGAGTTGTCGTTGTAGTGCTGTCGGGTAAGTACAGGAACAGTGTAGGAAACTTATATAGGAGTTTCCGAAAATAGGGGACCCAAATATGGTACCCTAAATAGTGGGATCCTTATTATTAGGACCCCAAAATAAGGTACCCCCTATTTTCGGAAATTCATGGAGGAGCCTTTTTGGGTTTGGGGGCCCATTACACTATAAATGCAGTAAGGAACCCGCAGAATAGTATTGGCTAGTAATTAGTTCGGCCCCTATACCAGAACCCTCCTTGTACCCTCAAATAAGGGTATATGGTCCCAAATAAGGGGCATTTAGGGTCTAATAGAGGGTAGATGGAGGGTCTAGGTAGTAGGGTCATCAGAATTCCCATCTTCCCAGGGTGTTCGGGGTTCGGCTCGGGCTCGTGTGAGCCGAATACAACGGTAAGTGGTGGCGGCTATAGACTGGGCATGTAGGGACTGCTTGGAGGATCATGGGACTTAGTAAGTAGGGTTATAAGTACCTTAATTGGGGATATAAGTAATTATACATACAGTTACCTGAATTATAACCTAGTTACTAAGTCCCATGATCCTTTAAGTGATTGTACAGATACTAAATATTCAGACCTCCCGTAGCTCAAGACCCTGGAGCTTACACACTCTCAGCTTCAAAGCCTGAACCAGAAACCTGAATTCCCAGTCCTACACCACCATGATCCCAATTAATAGCTCCTTCTAGCGCCCTATAAAGGACTAAAGAAATCCTGAGCAACTAACCGTCCCTAAACCCTATAAGCCCTAAACCTTAACTTCAAATCCCTCAAACCCTGGACCCTGCAGCAACAGCAGTCAAGGCACGCACGGATTGCATCTCAGAGGCCACTCTGCCTGCATTCTGAACAGTGGCTGCTGAAAAGTCTTTAAACTTCAACAGGCAGTTGAAGGTTTAGGGTTTAGGGCTTCTCCCATAGGGGCTGCTTAAAAGTCTTTGACAGGTAGGTTTTTTGTTTTTTTGAGCTCCTTTTCTGCGGACACCCGAAGGTCTCCAGGTACTGTTCAGGGTTTAGGGCGATCTATCATAAATGGCCCAGACGTGATAGGCGGTTCGCAAACCCACCCGCAACCTACTTACCAAGCCGATTGGCTCTTCCGATAAACGCCAAACCCTAATTACTGAGGCCCCAAACCCAAAGCTTAAAACTCAAAGCCTAAAACTATTGAACTCGAATGTCAAGCCCCTATAAACCCCACAACCTTTGCAGAACCTGCCTTGGCACCCCTCGTCCAACCAAAACACCAAAGACACACCTACAAAAACCCTACCCAACCCTTAATTAACCTAACCCTAAACCTCCTAAGCTCCCCGCCCTAAACCCTAAATCCGAAACCCTAAACCCTTAAACCCTTAAAACCTTAAGTCCGAATCCCGAAACCCCTAAACCCCTAAACCCTTACCCCTAAACCGAAAGTCCTTAAGTCCGAATCCCTCAACCCGAATCCCTACTTGGAAGATCATGGGACTTAGTAAGTATGGTTACAAGTACCCTAAGTGGGGTTATATCTTATTTTCAGTATAGTTATCTGAATTATAAGCCTAGTTACTAAGTCCCATGACCCTTTAAGTAAGCCCGAAAGCCGCCAGTGATCAGCCTCGGCTGTGGTCACCCAGCGACCCGCAGAGCAGGCTCTGCACTCATAGGAGTAGTCACCTGCGGTTTAAGGGCTCCTTTCAGGGTTCCTCTGAGGGTTCCCCCAAGGTCTCCGGTCAGGGTGGTACGAGGGCTCCGTTAATGCAAGAGGGCTCTTTCCTGGCTAGGATAAGGGCTCCCCTACGGGTCCGTGTAGCCTTTGCGCACATACGGGCTTCAGAAGGGTTCCTGTTTGGGTTTTTTTTGCAGGTGCATGGACCCTTTAGGGTTACAGTGCCTTGGAGTTCCGGCCTGAGGGTTCAGTGTGTTTGACTGGAGGGTTGCGGGCCTGTTCGTAGGGTCAGGAAAGGCAGACGGATAGGATTCGGGACTTTCGGCAGCAAGGCTTAAGCGAAGGGATTCGGAATCAGGATCTAATACGAGGGCCTTATGGTAAATGGCCTTATGGGAAATATTACGTACATGTATGTTTATAGAGTATGCGCATAAAGAAGCAACCTTAAAAACCTGACATCCTGAGTCCTTCAGGCCCCCTACATTCCATGGTGGCTGCAGAAGGATTCGGGGTGAAGGCCGAGAGCTTAGAGCTTCCAAATCCTCGAAGTCCCAGACCCCAAAAGCACAACCCTTCTCAGACTCTTCAAAGCCTCTAAAGCGCCTTATAAAACAAGAAATTGTACCAAAGAAAAACTACAGAACCTTCATGTGTAACCCCTATACCCTCAACCTTTCCTCCATCGCAGCCAAAGCGGCCAATTCGTCGTTGACCGGCGTCACAGGGCCGGAGCGTCACGGTAAACTCCTGCGGCTGACTTAAGGTTTAGAGTTTGGGGCCTAGGGTTTAAGGACAGTCGGGGGGTTTTCAGGGCTTCAGTTAGGCTCTACATGACATGATTTACTTTAGGGGTGACTATATGTTTTTTTGCTTAGGTTTGGATCCTAAGTCAACAAGATTCACTCAAGGCTGCTATTACGGGGTCTATGAGGGTTTTCAATAGCCTATAGGGGTTCATGCAATTCTACCTCACTACGAACTATAGCCTCGATGTAACTATGTGCGAAGCCTTCAAGGACAGAGTATGAGGCAGTGTAAAGTCCATGGACCCTTCACCATGGCTGATCAAAGCTATACCCCCTTAGAACCATATCAAAAAATGGTTTTAATATTCTCTTGGCGTTTTTATGAACAAAAATGAACAATAATTTCTAAGGAGACTATGGAAAGTAAGAAAGGCTTAGACTGGCCCAAAGGCCTTGCCCCAAAAGCCTTCAAAACCCCACAACCCAACTTATATGGGTGGTTGTCAAAAGTATGGTCCCGTTCTGGGTCCCTAATATAGTACGGCACCTAATATTCAGGGTACCCAAAAACGGACCATAATTTTCACAACTACCCATATGACACGCAGGAGAAGCCCTTGGAGTGCCCTGCTACAGCCCTTCAGCGGAACCTTTAATTATCCTAAACATCTACAATCCTCAGCAGGAGCCCTAAAACTCAAAACCCAGAAGTCGTACACCGTGTAACCCGGAAGTTCAAAGTCCCCCCAAAACTTGAGCCTACTTGGAGGATCATGGGACTTAGTAAGTAGGGTTATAAGTACCTTAATTGGGGATATAAGTAATTATAAGTACAGTTACCTTAATTATATCCCTAGTTGCTAAGTCCCATGATCCTTTAAGTACAGCTTGAAAGATCGCTGACGAGCGACGAGAGCTGGGACATTATACCGCGCCCCCGTAGCGAAGTCCACTTCACTGGCAAAGAGTCCTGTTGTTTTGGTCTTGTGGCTTTAAGCTACATAACCCAGAGGCTCCATGCACACTACTATTCTGGAATTAGGTCCCCAAGACCATAATGGTGATCGTCTTTTCGGGCCTAATTCCACAATACTAGTGTGTGTATGTGGAGCCTCTGGGTAAGGGCTCCGGGCTTGGAGGTCCGGCCCGAAAATCTGGGCCTTGGTCAAAGTTTCACATCTTTGAAGCTTAAGGTAGGGTTTAGGGTTTAGGGTTTAGGGTTTGGGTTTACTTATTACGAGTTTGAAGGAATTTGCACGATGATTCAGGCGTCACCTCTACAGCCAGCGGCACTCTGGTCCTATGGGCCTTTTCCTGTTGCACCACCTATTGCCTCAAAGACTTGTGGCAGCTTCTCACTTGCAAGAGAATGAGCCTCTGGCGGCATACGGCCTGAAACCCCGAAACCTAACTCCATCAGAGCCCCTTCGCTTGAAGTCAATGATGTGACCTGCCGAGTCATCGCCGTTGATAGGCTTCCAGTCTCCGCGCAGCGTCCATGCCAGTGTCCTCAGCAGAGGCAGGGTCTTAGAGCTGCAGAGGTCTACGATTTCCGCTTGGACTCTTGACTTTGTCCATCTGGCTGCCAATGCTTCGTGTGAAATATCCGAAAGAACAAAGGCATGCAAGGCTTGCCGGGTATTGGTTCTAGGGGCGTGGATGACCCTTGCATGAACTGGCAAAACACACAACCGCTCCTCTGCTCGGCTTTGCTTATCAGAAGTATGTTTTAGGCTTTCGGTGTTTCGTCGTGGGGTTCAGGTCCGGGCGCGCGGGGCTATGTGCAGACCGCCAGGTTCTAGGCCTTAGAGCCCTAGATGGACAGGAGTTCTACAATCAATGAAGCCTGACAGACAGAGCTCTTCATTGTGGAGATTGAGTGAAGCCTGGCTGGTGTCATGCTCCTCAAGACCTCACGAAGCTTGGCAGCCCAAGTCGGCGAGTTTTGAAATCCGAAGCCCTCAGACACTCTCCACAATGACAAGCGCAGCATTAACGCCGCACCACTGAACCGTAAACACAACCCTTTACCGGTGTGCGACTTTTCCATGTGTGAGTTTCGGATTATGAGGGTGAGTATAATATAGATAGACCTTGAACTAGCAGGAATTCGATGACAGGGACCGCTAAAGAAGTCACCTTATGCCTACTCCCTAAACCAAGAACAGCGGAGGTGCTGCGTAGAAGACAGCAGGACAGGCGGCACAAGGCTTGTCGTATCCTGGCAGCTTGCAAGTCATGTGTGGACTGTTGCCATGGGTGGTACTGCTGCTTCTGTTGCTCCTGGTGGTGGCCCTGCTCCTTCACCCCCTCCTCCTCTTGCTAACTGCTACTACGACGACACCACCACCACCACCGCCACCGCCGCGGTTGTTGTCGTTGTTGGTGTTGATGTTGTTGCTGCTGCAGTAGTGCTGGCTGGTCCTACTACGAGTGCGAGTGCTAGGGCGACTGCGACTACAGCTACGACTACGACCACGACAGCGACGACGGCGGCGGCGTCGGCGACGACGGCGACTGCCAGAACTACCTCTACTACTTCTAGTCCGACGACTTCTACCCGCTGAGGAATGATTCGATGCTTTCACAGCACTGCTTCTGGATAGTCTTGGAGCACCGAGAGCTCGGGACAAAGCCTTCATTCAGGGATGAGTAGAGCTTTGGAGTTGCAGGCTTGAGGTTTCGGGCCGTTGGAAGCTACAGGTTTAGCCCAATGTCAGGTTAAACTCTAGTCTAGAAACCCTAGAAAACCTTTACACACCCTTCGTAGACTACAATTAATGGAAGTAGACCCTTACAAACCAAAAACAAACCTATACCCCTGCAAACCAAAAACGTCCATGAAACCCGTGTAAACGCTTCTAAGCCCTGGCTGCAGCATCTCACTGCGCACCAAGGATCCGATTGGTCTCGAACGTTTCGCACTGGATCATTGATGACCTGGGACCCCGGGGAGCTGGCTTAGCCAGGCGATGTTTTAGGCGGCTCGGTACCTGCATGGGGGTCATAGATGTCACCGGAATTGTTCTATAGCTATGGTCTTTAACTGGGAATTACTGAAGTTCATGATCGTTGAGCTCTTCGAGCTCTTCGGGAGCTAGAGGCAGAGAGCTTCGAGGCCGGGAGCAGGTGTGCTTAAGCACTTTGGCTCTCTTGAGGTTTCGATTGTTTTAGGGTTTAGGGCTTAGGGGTTTAGGGTTTCAGGGTTTCGCTTGAAAGTCTTAGGGTTTGGGCCTTTTGGGATTTTCTTCACGCACCAGCCGCAGACCCCCATTTTCCCTCCCAAAAATAACCTTGCCGTGACACACAGCGGATGTAGGTGCTGTTGTGCTCCTGCGATACCCGGCGGCTGCAATGGCAGGGATTTGCTTGTGGAGCCTATAAGCGTCTTGCCGCCGTGGATTCGCTAATTACCCTATCTCCAGATACATACACAGTGGGTTGAAATTAGTTATGCTAGTTAGCAAGTGGCAAGTCCACTTATAAGAGGACTTATGCTAGTTATGATAATGCAGTTGCAACTTACTTATAACTAGGCTAGGCAAGTAGCATAAGTAGAAAGCTAAGTAGCATAAGTAGAAGTTAACTAGAAGTTAACTAGAAATGCCGTTTCAGGTCTAGCACACGGATCGGTCATCTTCCGACATGAGAGCGTTAAATTTAAAAGTGACACGGGATTTTGCAGTGAACGATGCCGCATTACAGGGCTCGCTGTATTCGCTCATTGCTATTTTCAACGCAGGCATCTGGCCTGTTGTGTTTGGACAGTGGCAGGGATACAGAATCCAAGACGGATTTTCGTATACGCCATGTCCGCTAAGATGAAGGCAAAATCTGCGAAAACGAGTGTCTATGAATCCTAAAAAGCTTGAGCAGTTCCAGCGAGCCCAGAAGAACCGCCGGGACCACTACACCTTGTCTTCAGTATGCGGCCTTTTAGGGCAACACCAGTAGACCATTGTCTTCGAAGCTCCAGAACGAAGCACAGAGAACGGGTTGCCCGCTCCTGAAGCACACCGGCACCGGCTTGGCTGCAGCGGTTTGTGTCCACAGCTCGCCTTTTACGGTCGACCCAAAGCCAGGTGCCCGGTCATAGGGCTGCACGAAGATGTTGTAATCTCCGTTCTTTACCTGACGGCAATCTGCGACGATGCCAGGAACAGGTGAGGTCACGACGTCTGAGACCTAGTAAGACCTACCTTCAAACTTCATGCCCTTCGATCGCTTTCCGACGAAGCTGGCATCCACACAAGAAGACGCAGGCGGCAGCAAACCAGTCGGCTCTCTTTCCACCAGTTGTCTCACTTGGTGCTGCGACTGAGCGAGGGTCCGAAGAAGAACAGCTTTGTACGCTGTGAGGCGGTTGCAAGGCGGACAGAGGTGGTAGTTCGCGCTCTTCTGCACAAGGGCACTCTCCGGAAAGTGCTGGCTGCACTTGGCGCAGCACTTGCTCGCGGCCATGCCTGACTGCGAGGCGAGAGGGAACCGAAGGAGCTGCTAAGCTGCTTGAGGCCTGGTCGCGGGCGTCGTTTGGATTCAAGTGGATTCTAGTGTAGTGAACTGGGCTGCCGGCCTGGCTGCTTCCAGGGATTCTAGTGTGAGCAATCCCTGTGACTCTCTACAGATTGGATTCTAGTGTGAGCAATTGGGGGGGCCTCTGCACTCCGGCGATTCTAGTGTAGTCTAGTGTGGTGAACTGTGGCCTCTGCCTGCCGGAAAATTGAATCGGCCAGTTTGGAATCGAGACAGGTTTTTTGAGTGCTTCTGGGGGTCTTCAAGATAGTAGACTTGAAGGCCTACTGGATCCTTGGGCAGCACCGGATACGTCCATGCAGACTGCTTTAGGAGACGTATAGGGCCCGGAAACTGTCTCACTGGAAATGAAAACGTAGAGCAGATATGAGCGCCGATGCCTGTTCTATGAGGCTCGATACCATGTTGCCTCATACTGGATACTGAGACGCTAGATAGGTCCATTAGAAGGTTCTCTGGAAGATTGCTTTCGGATAAGTTTGTACCTCAAAAAAATAACTTTACAGGAGCCATATATGAGCGCTATCATTGTCTATTGAAAGGTCCACAGTCTGTGCCCTCAGGATGGCTATTGAGGCGATACGCAAGACTAGACGACACCTTGCAGGAAACCTGAACAGCAGATACTCCCAAACCCTCAGGTCTACGTAGAATATTTCGGAGCAGGGCCGGGCATCACAAACTAAAACGACAGTCTCTACGTTTATAATATATATGCCGGCAAAATTTACGGAGACAGAAAAGCCCCAAAGCTTTAAAGCCCTAAAACATAAAACCCTCATATTTCTTGAAGAGATAGTACATATATATATATATATATATGTTTGTATATAGGTAGGTACATACATAGGCATAAAATCTACATGACAAGGCTATGAAAGACTAAACGCCTTGACTGGAAATCTGCAACGCATGGAAGCGCAAGTACGTGTCTGTCACTGCTTCGCTGAGACCTCTGTCAGAACGTGGAAGTGGGTACTAGGCTCCTGTAAGGCCTTCCCTCCAGGGCGTGCGGATGACAAGAATTTGAATCAAATGCTACCTATACTCATGTTAATGTGCAGCATTCTGCCATGAAGCTTCAACATGCTATCGCACACATTTTGAAAGGAAAACCTAACTAGAAGCTAACTGGGAAGCTAAGTAGCATAACTAGGAAGCTAAGTAGCATAAACTTTCTTAGCCCAATTATGCTAGTTAGCATGATACACTTAGCCAACTTCCAACTGCATTTACAAGTGTCCTAAGTTTGTCTTTAACCTACCTTACTTACGCCACTTGTAAGATCTCTTAACCACCATAAGAGGACTTGTAAGAGATCTTATGCACATACAAGTGGACTTACAACTAACATAACTAATTTCAACCCACTGTGTAAGGAGCATCAACCAAAACCATACGACAAAATCGCAAACTTCATGCTACTACTTAGCACGTAGTTAATTCGACTACGACGGCAAAAGCAACAAGCTACCCTGTATCAGACCGTCAATGCCCAATGTTGGGAGACCCCATATACTCCTATTCGAGTTACGTTCTCCTTAGCTCGAACTTGGCTGAGGCCGCTCCTGCAGAGAGCATGGTGCAGCGAACTCGCCCAGCGTGATGACAGTCGATGTGGCATTGCTCACCTTCGTACTGTTGATGATATAAATCCTGCATTACCTTAAGGACCCTAAACTATGGGAATTATGGTATATCCCTTATTATGGGTTATGCAGGATTTGTATCATCACCTTCGTACGAGCATCACAACCCCAAACCGTGGCTGATGTTGCCGGATCTAAGCTTATGTTTGGGCTCTTCCAAGGGTGTAGGGTTTAGGACACCCTAAACCCTAAACCAGGGTAGCTCCGAGTCTACCCTGGATTTGCGATTTGGAGTTTAGGGCAAGGTTAAGGAGAGTACCTTTCGGCACAACAGCTCGTGCCTCAATGCCCAACTGCGCCGCTACAGAGGCGAACGGCGGGCTGCGAATCTTGAGGGTTCAAGGACCACGGGCAAGCTAAAGCAGAAGGGCAAACGCAATTCGCGCAAGTCTGTCCTGGCGAGTGATTGTATAGGAATTCTGGTATCTACTTCTCACTGGCGTGCTTAAATTAGGCAAAGCCCTGTTACCGATGGAAACCATCCAGAATCGTGTCAGGAAAAAATCGAAACCAAGACCCGTATACAACACGCCAGCCCTGACGGGGTGCAATAGTTTTAAGAATAAGCTGTCCCCTAAGATATAAAGGTATAATATAGCGACCTTTATAATTAGAGTAGGGTTTTGGGGTATGTTCTGTTATATAACTCTGAGAAGGAACCCTAAGAAATATATGTTTAAAGATTTAGGCCCTATGTTACTTCTTGTCAGGCACTGACCGTGCTGGGGTCCTTAGCCTCCGCGGTCTCAGATTTGGGACCTCAGGTTTAGGTTAGAAGCTGTCCCCACCCTGTAATAGTGGTATAGTAGGAACAGAATGGCCCTAATATAATCCTTATAGTCACTATTACAGGGTGGGGGCAGCTTCTAAGGTTTAGGCTTCGAATTACATACCTTTGCTCAGTACCCTAAGGGTCCATGTACTCATATAGTATATACATTGGCCTCAATGTAGTCCCTATATAGGTACTTTGGGGCCCATGTATCTCTATATGTGCACATGGACCCTCAGGGGTAGGGAATAGAGGCATGGGGTACAATTATGACTACTATTACTAATTACTACCATTCTTCCATTCCCTACGAACCAAAGGTAAGATTCGGGACTTCCGGGTCAATTGTAGCGAATATGGGAGAGGGTGTTTCTCACTAGTCTACCCATGTTCACACCCCTGCGATATCAGCACTATGCGTAAGGACCCTAAATGCACCCACGAAATCGTGACCAAATCCCTTCTGCTCCCTACTCCCCTTAAGCCCTAAAGCCCCCCTCGGCCAAGCAACAAACTGGATCGACTCCGTGTGCGTGCTCTGACAGGACTCCTCTGAGAAGTAGAGACCTCGGAACTGGCAGTAGTTCTCATCGTCGGCAAAGTCATCGTGGTAGTACAAGAGTAGTCGCCGTCGTAGTACTAGTACGAAGTCGTCGTCGTAGTCACGGCATGGTTACTGTGATGACTAGGCAGAACCTCAGGAGCATGAAACATATTGCATACTGGCATGATAGATGATACCCTGTGGCGGATCCGGGACAGAGCCAACAATCCGCACATTAAGTCGAAACTTGAAGGCTGTGTCCTTGGAGCGCTTTTGCTGCTGGACTGGGCTACTTTAACTCTCTGGCAAGTGGGGTCAAAACGAGTTGGAGAATCCGAGAAACCGAAAGAGAGAAGAGAATCTGGGAAACCCAGAGAAGGAAAAGAACATGCTACTTCTGCGGCCATTGCAGAAGACTAGCTGTTTGCAGGGAACTCAAACTTTAGGGCAGCCTGTGCGTGGCTTATGCCGTACTCTAGCCGGCTGCATTTCACCATGTCTTTCATAGCAATCTAGAGACGAGCTCCAACGAATGTTGTAGGGGGGCTTGAAATGAAGGGTTTAAGGGTTTAAGGGTTTAGGGTTTAGGGTTTAGGGGTTTAGGGTTTAGGGGTTTAGGGCTGACATGGGGCAAGATGCATAGACTCTACACTGCAAGCATCGCTCAAACAGTCGATAAATCCCAAACCCAACACCGAGCCGGTGCCAAGCGGCCACTAAACTCCAGGACTCTGTTAAGCCCCACATCCTGAACAGGGAACTACTGGGTGTCTGGTATTCTTGTTACATTGTGGAGGGTCTGGCACTGCGGAGGCGTTCATCTGAAAACCTTGGTTTTCAGAGTTGCTAGCCCCTTTTGATCTTGAGTGGAAACCCTGATTGCAGGGCCTACAGGCGCCACGTCCGAACTTAAACCGAGTCGGCGAAAGATTGTTCTGGCATGTAACTTTTAGTCTTCGCAGTTTCACATCCCATTCTTCACACCCACTCTTCTACTGCAAGTCTGATGGAATCGCAGATCGAAGGACCACAGCACTCAAGTGATAGCCCGACCGCCATACATAGTAGTATAGAACTAAGGAGTCCGAAGGAAGAGATTAAATTAGGAGCCTTCAAACCCTGCACCCTGAACCCCAGGCCCTACCCTACAGCCTCAACCTCAAACCCTAAACCCTGAGCCACCCTGAACCGTGGGCGCACTGATCACCCTGCAATCCCTACCACAACTGAAGGACAAAGTCGCGGTCCTCAAGTGCTACCCTGCTATATGGCCCCGAGTATGATGTACTTTAGGGTTTAGGGTTTAGGGATTACTAAGTGCTTACTATGCTGATTTTGGGGCCTATAATGATAGTGTGTTAGCTAGTGAGTCCAACCACTATAGTAATCTTCATCCTTACCAATGCATCCACGGTATAGTTTAGGGCTTGGGGCTTCAGAACTGCCAGAGAGTCTTGATGTTTTTTGGGGGGATACGAAGGAGCTACTCGAAAGAGTCTATACAGGGACACTGTTACTGAGTTGAGCATTTGGATCTCTGTTTTGCCACTAATCCCGTGAACGCAGCCTAAAACCCCAAACCCTGAGCCCCCAAAGCCCAAAGCCCCCATGCAAAAAACCGAAGCCCTGTAACCTCAACACTCAAAAGCCGTGAACCCTAAACCCTAAACCCCAAATACCGACCCTAAACCCTAAACCCCTAAACCGTAAACCCTAAACCCAAAACCCTAAGCCCTAAACCCAAGACCACTAGGCCCTAAACCCCACCCACCCTGCGTTGCAGGCCTCTAAGCTTCTCGGCGTGTAGCTCTGCACCATCGGCCTACCGACACAAGCAGACAAGCAAAGACAAAACTATACTGAACTCAGAACCCTAGCAAGAATTATAATTTAGGTGTTTCTTAGGGATTATACTAACCAAAAATTAAAATTTCTTTCTAAGTACCTCTAAGGAAACCCCATACAAAGGCTGGCAGCTTTGGGGGGTCTGGGGCCGCAGGGCATTTTCGGGTTTTTAGGGCCTTCAGGGTTCAGGGTTTAGGGTTTAGGGTTTCAGGGTTTCGGACGTATTTGTTCGTTGGCTCCTTTTCCCACTAGTAAGTGCTCGCGCTTAGCAGTTTAGGGTTTGGGGTCGGGTTGCTTGAGAGTTGGAAGTGCAAGCCTCAGAATGCTGGCCTAACTCCTGTCGAGTTTCAGATTTGAGGCCTAGGCTCGAGCCCGAATCCCATGTCCGAATTGACTTAAGCACGAATAGCCAGACATCCCCTGTTTACACCCCGGGAAGGCCGATTCTTGACTCCTGCGAGAAATTTAAAACACCCCGGCCACAACCCCAGAGTTCCTAAACCCTAAACCCTGCAACATGGTTCCTAAGCCCTACACCATCTAGTCTGAACCCTTAACACGACACCTCAAACTCGAGACCAGCAGGTCTACCGGTCAACCCTAAAGGCTTCCCTTCGGAGGATGCAAGCATCCAGCCTACCGTGCTTAGAGGATGCACTATGAGTCTTCCTCGGTTTGGTGGCGGTTTAGGGTTCACGGTACCGGGTATAGGGTCTAGGTAGAGTGGGAGCCACGGAAAAGTTTAAAGCTAATCGGATCCAGACCAACCTTCCCCTCAGCACAAGCCCTGAACCCTAACGCCCGAGGGCACGGAAGCCCGAAATCCGGACCCCTGAAACTCAAACGCGAGCATCTCCTTGAGAGGCATCTGCCCCGAATCCCCAACACCCTGAAGCCCGAATCCCCAACACCCTGAAGCCCGAATCCCCAACACCCTGAAGCCCGAATCTTGGTGGCCTGAACACTTCGGAATAGGCTTTTGGCGTAAGACAGCAACCCTGAACGGAATAGCATTCGTATTTCTTCAGTCCCCAGTATTAACACCCTGAGCCGGTCCTGGGGAAGACTATCTTCTGCTGGAGTTCGGTGTTTCCCACGAGATCCTTCGGTTCCAAACGGACTACACAAGGGTTGCATCTAGGGTTTAGCACTTTGGGTATAAATCTTCAAGGTTTCCGTATGGGATTCGTAAAAGCGTTCCATAAATCAAGGGGTCTAACACAAGGGGTCCAACACAAGGGATGAACCCGAGGATCCATGTACCTATGTTGGCCAGAAGCAATTGTACTACGATCTCTAAGGGGATCTGTAAGGGCCCTTTAAGGGCGGGGCATACACTTCTTCAGAGCATCCGCTACCAAAAAAAGCAAGCTTTCCGGGTGCATCAGGAGACCCTGGGATGCATTAACTGCATGAACCACTCAACCTATCTTTGCACAGGGCCAGAAGCAAAACTACGAACTCTGCTTCTCCGACAGTGACCATCATGCGGACAACTTCCATGCCTGGAGGGACTCATGAGGGCTTGAAAACATTTGCGAAGACTACATGAGCATGTCTTCGGAACTGTCCCTGCCCACACGCGACGTTGCACCCTGCCTATCAATGCAGACTGATGAACAAAGAATCTTTTCAGCACTCGCCGAGCCTCTGCTTCACTTGCGGGCGAAGGACCTATGAACCCGCAGATCCACAGCCCCAATCCATCAACCGTAAACCCTAAACTGCCTTAACTAGGCCCCCAAACAACGCAATTCCCTGAGCCCCTAACCCAAAACACCCTAAACCCCCTACACCCGGAAACGCCGAACCCTAAACCCCGAATCCCCTAAACCCTCTTCAGAGCTCTCGACTGCCCGAGAGGTTGGCTATGTACTTTACTCGACAGCAGCCAAGACTCTCCAAGGTAGAGCTTCACATTCCTGGGATTCTTCTTAAGGGGTTTAGGGTATGAGGGTTTAGGGTTTAGGGTATGAGGGTTTAGGGTTTAGGGTATGAGGGTTTAGGGTTTAGGGTGTGTATAAGCCTGGGACTCTTGTCTAGAATGTTGTCTAGGGTTTGGGATGTTTATGAACCTGGGATTCTTGTTTGGGTTTGGAAACTCCGATATCACGAAGACGCCAAGTTTCTGCAGTGGACGCCACGAAATTAATGTCACAATGTGCCGACATGCTGTACCCCATAATAGGACCCTTATGTTCCTAATAGTGGGTACTGAGGGTACATTATTAGAGGGCCGTGGGGCGTCTCGGTGGTGTTTAGGAGTTTAGGGTTTCCCCCTAAACCCTGGGCCCTAACACCTAAACCTTTACGGTGTGGGATTTAGGATCCCTGCAATAAGGTTGAGCAGCTTGCACACAATCGATATGCGAGCCTCCACAGTCACCGAAACCCTTGCCCGAACTCCCTACATGGCATTCCCTTTCCTCCGCAAACCGTAAAGCCATGAAGCCCGCAGGCTCAAAATCAGAAAAAATGCTAAAGTACTAAGTCCCAAAACAGACCATACACTCCGTAAGCTTTTAAGGGTTCAGGGTGTAGATCCCCAAATCCTTCTGCACAGTTTTCACTGCATCGCCAAGCGACGGCTGACGTGGCAAACACGTAATGTCGAGGCAGGGGTTCGTCAAGCACCTGGGCTGGGCTGATTACGCCGACCCTAGATCTTGTTTTTGTTCAGCACCTTTTTCCGCCTGGCCTATCTGTCTAAGCTATCTAGGGTTTAGGGTGTGGGAGTAGGGTTTGGGGTTTAGGGTTTAGGGGTAGATTGTCATACAGGTTTTATACCTGTTTTGGGGTGTCGAGTTATAGGAGAACGTATTCCATGCGTGGGGTCCTGCCGCACCAAAATCAGGTAACTTGTCAGGTAACCCCAAAAGGAGCAAAACTTGGGGGTTCGAGTAGACTCACTGTTTACCATGACTGGCTTTAGTGAGTCTTAAGTTGGGAGAGGAGTCAGAGAAGCACAGCTGCTTGCCAGTTACACAACAGTTATAACCCCAAACAAGGTACCATGGACCTGTAGCTACCCAGGTACTTGGAAAGGTTTACGGTTCAGGGCTTGGAATCTTCATTTTATACGCGGAGCCGGCGAGGATAGGGATATTGATTGTGGAATCAGCGCAGGATCGCGGGTTTCCAAGGGCTTGGGGTTCAGGGTTCATGCCCAGCCGCTCGAGATAGGAGGCATTCTTCCAGGTGATGCTCGAACCTGGGAGTGCAAGCTTCGACACAGACACACAAGCACACAAGCACACACACACACACACACACACACACACACCACACTCACCTAGTTTCCTGAAGCTACCAAAATAGCGGCCGAAGGTAGGCTGACGAGGGCGAAGTCTGGAAAACGACAAGCGAAGAAGCGTCATGTCGGTTTAGGGTTTAATTCGCGTCTTCCCCATGCACCCTAAGCCCTAGTCTAGAACACATATATACTTCACTTCACCTAACTTTTGAGCCTCAAACTCCCTAAGCCCTACGATTTGGGGTCCACGCTTACCATAAACCCCAAAACGAGTCAACCCGGAACAGTCTAAGGGACCCGCATGAACAATTCTAAACCCTAACCTCAACTCCCTAAAGGAGCCCATAAAGGAACCTTAAAGCCCTTAGGAATCCTCAAAGGGACGCTAGCCCTAGCCCCTAAACCCTAAACCTTGCACGATTTAGGGTTTAGGGTTTTGGGTTCAGGGTTTGGGGTTTAGGGTTTAGGGTTCAGGGTTTAAGGTTTTAGGGTTTTGGGGTTCAGGGTTTAGGGTTTAGGGTTGAGGGTTTAAGGTTTTAGGGTTTTGGGGTTCAGGGTTTAGGGTTTGGGGTTCGCAGCGATCCTTCATAACGAGTCCGAAAGGCAGAGCTCCACCGGCTCGCACGCTTGCCACCCCGAGGGAGAGACCAACTCGGCTTTGTAGCCTCCAGGGCTTGGGGTTGAGGTTTTAGGGGTTTGGGGCTTTAGGGGTTGGGGGACTTTGGGAGTTTAGGAGTTTGGGGCTTGCCTTAACCCTGAAGAACCTACCTTTTTAAGGACTTATATAAGGAAATCATAGTAGGGAACCCTGAAAAGGTAGGTTCTTCAGGGTTCAAGTGGGGTTGAGGCTTTAGGGGTTGGGGGCTTTAGGGGTTTAGGGCTTTCAGAGTTTAGGAGTTTAGGGTTTGCGGGGTTTAGGGGTCCCCGGTTAAGCAGGTAACTCTAAACCTTAAGCCCTACACCTTAAACCCTAAACTCTAAACCCATAACCCCCTAAATGCTGAACCCTGGAGCAAGAAGCCCAAAGGGTCCTGGTATCGCCGCTCCCTTCATGTCCAGGGAGTTGATCGACGGGAAGGTGTTTCCCTGGATGTAGATTCTGGCCGGATGTTCCTGGGCTTAGTTTAGGGTTCACGGGTTTAGGGGTTTAGGGTTCAGGGTTTAAGGGTCGAGGGGTTTGGGGTTTAGGGCCTAGTCGCCTGGTCTGCAAACCCTGTACAGATGCCTCCTCCACAGTGATCCTGCAAAACCAATTCAGCTAGGTTCTCTGACGAGCAAACATCCTTATGCATGCGCTGCCGCAGTTTAAACGACAGGGCTTGGGGACATACCGCGAGCTACACGACAATAACTATACACATAACTACTAATATCAATAAACAACTATATGAATGTTGTTACTACTGTCAATTGCCGCAGCATATATACATATATATATATATATGTACATGGGTGTGTGTATATATATATACATATATATATATATATCTACATATGTACATGTGTGTATATATATATGTATTTATACACCAGCTTTTGCATTGCATGATAGACCATCTCATCACCCTGACGCCTTACAAGCCGGAGGCCAAGGGCTGAGCGGCGGGATCCTTTAGAGTTCAGGGTTTAGGGCTGTAGGGTTTAGGTTTTGGGGTGTAGGGTTTAGGGGTTTAGGGGTTTAGGGGTTTAGGGTTTAAGGGTTTAGGGTTTTGGGGGTTTGGGGGTTTGGGGGGTTTTGGGCTTAGGGTTTCGGGTTCAGGGTCTAAGCCCTCAAGCCGAAGAAGTATGGCTCAACGTGGCACGGCCATATCGAGCGCAAGCCAAGGCGCGGCAAACGATCGTAATGCATTGCACAAGTGACTACAGGAAATATCTGCAGTAAGTAGGATTGCAATCCTGATATGAGCCCGTCCGACTGAACCGCATGTAGTCTTGAACTCGTCGAACCTATTTGCCCCGAGTCCAAGCACCCGGTGTACAGTGGCCGTAGGAGCTGGTCAAGCAAAGCGAGGGTCTTTGGGTTCTCGGCTCTCGATCGGTTTAACATGCGAGATTGAAAGCAAACTTACCACCAACGAAAACATGAGCTCGAAGTGGTGAAAGCCCAAACCTTCAGTCGGACAAGGCGCATTGATCATCATACCAAGATCAAGAACCTCGTGGCGGAGTTCTGGACTTCGAAAGAAAACCCAATCCCCGGAGGCGGTTATGGCTTTCGGGTGTGGATCTTCCAAGCCCTAGCCCTGAACGACCGAAACTCAACCCTGCAAAGGCCGTTTGTCCCTTTGTATGTGGTGACAAATCGTGCGAGGTTCGTCGAGACAGCGTCGCTACAAAGGCTATGGGTGCAGGGGCGGTTTTTGAAGGTTGAACATTAGGGGGTTTACGGCCAGTGCTAACCCAGATCCCCAGCTTCCCGTTCCCATGGCCTCCGTTTCGCCATACACTGCATTCTCCACCGCTGAAGCCATGGCCTGCCTGTGTTGAAGAGGAAGTCTAGGGTTCACGCCAGGGTTCTCATCGATCACTCACCACGGGCCGTGGTTATTGGAGAGGGAATGCACACATGTCTGCTCGTTGCGGCTATGTGTTTGTCTGCTGCTGTTCCTCTCGATCTGTGTGTCTGTGCGTTTGTGTGTTCAATTTGTTTATTGTAGAGGCCTCTGTCTAATCTCAGAACCTCACGACCCTGGTAAACCCCAAACAGCACGACCCCATAATCCAGTATTTTTGTTTCCAAACACTCGAACACAAGGAGACTACCACACATCCCAGCTTATGGGACCTAGCCAAGACCCTAAACCCTAAACCCTAACCCTAAACCCTCAACCCTAAACCCAACCAAGACAAACATGACGGAGAGGCGGAAGTGGCTGCGCATAGGTGATGATGTCGGTCAAGCCAGACTCCTGATCTCCTTGCACCTCGGCTTTCTTTGGGGCAGAGGCTGGGGGTTTAGGGTTTGGGGGTTCTTTGGGTTCAATAAGCTGGGATGTCTGCTTGAGTTCGTGTTTTTGGAAGGGAAATTTCTGGATGATGGGGCCGTAGGTTTTTTTGCGAAAGTTCGGAATACAGGATTCCAGAACCCAGATCTTTCAGCGCCTGCTTGGAGTCAACATTTCAAGATTATGCTCTTTGCAAAAGCTGGTGCCTTATCCTTGACGACTTTCGACTGGTGCGAGCGATGTCGAAATTACGCATATGGGAGTTTCTGAAAATAGGGGACCTTACTGTCGTACCCTAAATACCAGGATCCTTATTATAAGGACCCCTAAATAAGGTACCCCTCATTTTCGGGAACTCCCATATGTCAACATGATGGCTACTCTCAAGCTTCTATGGCCTGACAGGCGAGACAACTTGCTCTCTGGACTAGGCTGCCCGTAGTTCGGCTAGAGGCACACAGTCCGAGACTAGAGCTCTCATGAAAGCAAAGGACATGCTCTCAGTCAAACCGGTGGGGATTGCAGCAGAATTATGGGAGTCCCTTGAAAAGAGGAACTCCCCGCCCTTCGGAATACCATAAAACATAGGCATACAGCCTCGTTTGAGGTTTGTTTCAGGATCCGAGTCGTGCCTGCCGAAGGTAAATAATCAAGTTCCGCTCCTGTGGCGACGACGAGAAGTCGCTGAGCCAAATTGCCCAGACCTTCCAAAATCCCTTAATTAAGGGATATACCTTAAATTATAATAGGGTTCCTACTATGATTTAAGGTATATTGCTTAATTAAGGGATTTTGGAAGGTCTGGGTGAATAGAGGTCTCAACATATTGTATCAGCAGTAGTTAACCTTACTTTACCATTCCTTAATGTACCAGAGACCTGAATTCGCACCTCGAAATGGAATCAGCCCAACGATAGCGTTTAGGGATCAGTACCCTGAACTCCCAAATCCTCAACCCTAAACCTCTAAACCCTGAACTCCCATACCCTCAACCCTAAACCTCTAAACTCTGAATTCCCATACCCTCAACCCTAAACTCCAAACATTCAAACCCTAAACCCCTGAACTCCCATGCCCTCAACCCTCAGCTCCACGCATTTAAACCCTGAACCCCTGAACTCCGATACCCTCAACCCTAAACCCTAATCCTCTAAACCCTAAACCGAAAAAAAGGCAAACGATGAATTCATGGTCGGAGCAAATGTGAGCGCACTGGTCTGGTGGTTCAGGACCTGGAGCCTGATAATGATGTCCTTGGTAGAGTTCAGCCGTAGCCTGCTTCAACTGTCTGGTTCTTAGTAGGGACTAGGGTTCCTTCAAGGGCTACGGTAAGGATTACTTTCAGGGTTATACTATAGGGGGATAGGGTTCTCAGTAGGCTGTCTGAGTCTTCGTAGGGAATGGGGGAATGGATTACGTGGACTACTATTGGGATTATATATGGACTTTTCTGGGGATCCATTCCCCAATTCCCTACATAGCACCAGGGAGTCAGGGCAAGGGGCTTTCGGGTAATTGTGGCTCAGGGATCAAAGTTTGGAAGGTAGGGCAGCGCCGAAGGGAGTGATGGACATGTGGAAAGGGCTTCGGCACGAGGGCTTGAGCTTTCAGGTCTGGGGGTCTGAGGGTTTAGGTTGTTTGCTTCGTCATTTTCTGCATGTGGCTTGAGAGCTTGAGGCTTGTAAGGTTTGGAGTTGCAGCTTTCGGGTTAGAGTTGCTGATGCCAGGTTTCGGACTGTCTGCTTTCGGAACTTCAGAGATAGTCCCAAGCCCGAAAACCATAACAAAGCGAAGCAACACACCCTGCGAGCGCGGTCGTAGGGTCTGGGTTTTGGGTTCAGGGCTTTGCCTATGCTTCCAAGGACCGTATAGTTAGGGCTCTAGACCCCTTCAGGACCCAACAATGAGGTACCTGGAAGCATAGGGTTAGTTGTTGAAAGGTTTAGACTAGGGGCCTTAATAATCAGAATAGGGTTTTGGGGGCCCATTATACTACACTTAATACTAATGAACCCCCCCCAAAATAGATTTTAGGGCAGCGTCTCGAATTAGACCATGGTATCTAAGTTGTACCTAGAGGATCATCTCCTAAACCCTTTGAGGTAGAAAATAAAATAGCTACCCTAAAGGGAACTCCGGGAAGTTGGAATATGGATTAATGGTAGGATCCCCTATAATTTACCTTAAAGGGGTTACGATAATGATATTCCAACTTTCTGGCTTCTACTGTAATGTCATATGACCCTCTCGGTATAGCCCAAGCCCGAAATTGGCAGAACCCCACTAAATTCTACATAAGCAATCTTGTATAGCTCTGCCCAAGACCTCATGAGGAAAGGTATGCGCCGGAACTTGTTGCCATCCCTAAACCCTAAGCCCTAAACTTTAAATCTTAAACCCTAAACCCCTAAACCCTAATCTGCAAACCCTGCGCCCCAAATCGTACCACGGAGCAGTTAGCGCCGCTGGTCTAAGCGGACAGCTCCCGGTGTCCTGCTCAGCGCACTATTCTTGCTCTACTTGGAGGATCATGGGACTTAGTAAGTATAGGATTATAAGTACCTTAATTGGGGTTATATGTAATTATACATACAGTTACCTATTATAACCCTAGTTACTAAGTCCCATGATCCTTTAAGCAGAATAGAGTGTGTAAGGGTTCAGGGTTTGGCAGTGATGTGCACGAATCGCATTTCAGCGCTCCAAGGTTGAGAATCGTCGATCATAGGTTTCTCTTTACAACTTTTATCGCTTTCCGGAAGACTGCACAGAGAACTGTACTGTAGGGCCTTCCTGAAGCTGTTTGTAGCTATCTGGATATAGCGAACAAGGTCTCAAAGCACTGTGCAGACAAGCATCCCAGGTCGCTGAGAATGTCGTGGCACCGCAAAGGTTGTACCAGTAGCCTGACAGGCAGGGTCGAGCATTTCTTCGCTGGAGCAGAGAAGCGAGCATACAATCTGACTCTGGGCTGCTGGGGTATAAAGTGTTGAGTGCCACTGTTCAAGCTGCGTAGCAAAGCCGAAAAACGAATCGGCTAAAGTCAAAGCCATGCTGAGCAGTTGTCGGCTCGGATGATACCGAACAAGCGACGCTTCAAATTCCTCGAGCTTGCGATCAACGCTCTTGCCCTTGAACCGATGTGACTCCGCTACCAAAACCGAGGCTGTGGCCGTTCTTGTGAACGTAAAGCTGAATGATGTCGGCCGGCAAGGCAAAACCTCACAAGAGCAACTATGGTGCCAGAAGGAGCTACAAACTTTCTGGTTGCAATGAGACCGCGGCGGTGTGGTTAAAGAAAGGACACTCTCAGTGTCAGACATGGTGTTGGCCCAGCGTGGCAAGACTAAAACAGTTAAGTCCCGCAACCTTCACTATGGGCCATGTGGACAAGGTTTTGCGGTTGAGGTTTGTGGGTTGTTAAGCGTTTGGGGTTGAGGCGCTATAAGCCTTAACACCTTAATGTTTCTTAGCGAGGACCTGGGTGTAGCTTACATTGCCGCCAGAGCACCTTCGATTCCCCAGGCCGGGACGTTGGTGAAAGTCGCCTGACAGAATGGAAGGTTTAGGAAGTTTCGGGTCTGGCGGTTTGAAGGGCTTCAGCATTTAGGATGGATTTCGAGCTGGCCAACACCTCCTCGCCCTAGTCCTCAACCCTACGGAGGAGGGACACAGGTAGATAGTGAAGATATACACCCAGCGTAACCATACTATAAGCATCGTATAAGGTGAGTATAAGAACTTGTAAGTTCCTGCATGCTGCTAGTACTTGTAAGTGGCCTGTCGAAGATACAGCACTTGTAAGTAGTTAAAAAGACGTAGAACAACATAAAAAAGTTAAGGAAAATTTAGCAAAACTTATGACCCTCGGGCTCTTTTTTCGAACACTGTTATGTTGAGGCCTATTGTTGTTTTTGAAGCGATGTTTTGGGGCGGAGGGCGGGGTGGGGGTTCTGTTACGTCTAGGACTTGGGGGGGTATATGGGGGGGCGGGAGCTGAAGAACGAGGAGAAGGATAGGAAAGGAGGGGGAACAGGCCGCCCCAAAGACAGCTGATGCTCATGATGCGCGCCTTGGGTGGTGCTGCTGCCTAAGTTTAAGCAAGTCCAACGAAATTAAATGTTAGTTGGACTTGGGCACTTCTTGTCCTGATGCACCCCTTGGCTGGTTCCCGGTTAGGAGTGGCGGACACAAAAGGCCGGGTCAGGAGACACACGGAGACACATCGGAGACACATGTGTCTCCCGCCCCCGGCCCAGGAGACACATGTGTCTCCGGCCCCCGGCCCAGGAGACACATGTGTCTCCGGCCCCCGGGTCAGAAGACACACGTGTCTCCTGCCCCCGGGTCAGGAGACACACGGAGACACACGGAGACACATCGGCGACACATCGGCGACACACTTCAGATGCAGCTGTCCGCCGAGGCTGGCGCCGATAGCTGCTGTGCCAGTAGGCAAAAGCTTGTCCACACTGTAGAAGAGCAGACCAGTGACCCGGCGATTCTGTTGCTGCAAGTTGCAAAGCATCTGTATTCTTCAAGCTAGACACATACTGTTATAGTGCTTGCTCTCGCTTCTGTTAACTCGGCGGCTGCAGTCGCTTCGTTGAGACATTCGGCCTTGCTGGGCGGCTGCAGTCGTTTCGTTGACACATACGGCCTTTAACCACACCTCAGTCTTGTTGGTCTGAAAGCAAACACCAAGAAGCCAACAAAAAGTTACAAAAACTTAAAAACAGTTACGAATAGTTGCAGGAATTTGTGTTCAACTTATAACAAAGTGTAACAAAGCATATTTCCTACTACAAAGATACAAGTCCCCTAAGTAAGCCTGTCCCTCCTCCGTAAGTTCCCTCTACCCTAAAGCTCCCAACCAAGTAAGCTGAACAATCCTGACTCTTAAAACCGACACCCAAAAGCCCAAAAACCAAAGCTGGATCGTAATCTTGCAGAAGCTGAAACCTTCGAAGCCCAGATCTCGACACTCCGAATCCTGCTGCTTACCCTGACACCAGGCCTCGACCACAAACTGTGAGTTGATGGAGGCTTGCAACCTGCAGCACCATCAGGACGCAATGTGCAGTTTCTTCGAGGTAAACCCGAAACCCTAAACCATTCCCCTAAACCCTAAAGCGGGTGGTTCGGGATACCTGAGGATGCGGACGCACATCTGATGATGCTCTTCATGGAGAGGGTGCATCGCAAACGCAGCAATAATAATAGCAAGGGGTCAGCCTCATAGAACACACCATCATACCATGAACAGACATGTTTGGATATTGCTGTGGCGGGGCCATACGTTAAGAGAGTGCAGCTCCATTACACATGCAGGACACCCAAGCATAAGGCATCAGCTGCTAAGTGGTCAATGGCATCTACACACCTAGAGTGATTATGTATGTATGGTCCATTGAATCACTGATGACCAGAGCGAACTGCCGATAGTGCGACACAGAAGTACTGAAGTACTTATATTTGCTTTATTTGTAATATTCAATATATACTGCTATCACGATTGCACAATCTCGTGTCCACGGTGATGTTTGTTGGCAGGATGAAGCCTGCTCCCGTCTGATACTCACTTCTGCATTGCTAAATGTGCGAGATGATGCTGTTACAGTAGATGTGATGATGCAGCTGAGTCTCGGGCTTTCTGTATGCCTTGACTGATTATTGTCATAAGCGCGACCGTCAGGCGCTTGATCCCTTGCCCTAAGACTCCATGTGCCCATATAGTAGGTGCTAATTAGGCCTTAAACCACCTGTATAGGGACCCCTTTAAGGCGTAAGTACCTACTGTATGGGTACATGGAGCCTTTGGGTTGATTGATGCTCACGATGCTCTGGTGCGCTGCAAAATGCCTCGCTGCTGCTCGTGATGCTTGCGGCGGCCGGGCAGATGCTCACGATGCTGTGATTGGAAAATGTTCAACCTGTACATGCTGATGCTCGCAGGTGGAACAAGCGAAATGGCCACGCACTGATGCTCATGATGCTTGTGACCGGGTGGCTTTGAGCATTGACTGATGCTCGTGCCGCTAGTCTCTGCAGGGCTGAAGCGGCACCGCGCTGATGCTCATGATGCTTCTGATTGGTTCGGTCTTGGCCAAAGCGAGCCCCAGCTGATGCGCATGATGCTGCGGATGGTGGTCCTGACGGATGCTCACGATGCGAGCTGAATAGCTTTATGAAGCGCAATACCTCCGCCCGCTGTCCGATGCAAGCAGTTACCTAAACTAGCCCGAAACCCCATAATATGGAACCCTAAAGCCTAAACCCAAATCCCTAAACCCTACGTACCCAAAACTATTGAACCCAATAAACTCCCCAATAGCCCGGAGAGCTTCAAGGGGGCCCGACAGTATCGACCCCGGCATAAAATAAGGATCCGAGTTTTTCCAAGAAACCCCTGCGAAACCCTTGAATTGGGATCCACACTTCGCAGAAACCCCCCAACATACACGAACTTTGCGAAACCTTAATCCCAAATAAGACCCGACATTAGTTCCCAGGCCGCAAAACTCAACCCGCAGCCTAAAAATCAAATTTATACCTCCAAGCGACAGAATCTAAATCCTTAACCAACCTGAACCGACGAGAATCCCACCTCCGCCCGGCAAAACAACCAACAAAGTCCATCTACAAGGCTGTTCTACCTACTCCTTCTACAGCTAAGAGAGGGCCTACAGGGGGTTTCCCCCTCCCAAACCTCAAACCCTAACCCATCCTGAGCCCGAAAACAAAATCCCAAACCCCAAAGCCCCCACAACACGTCGAGTAAGTATAATCATGATAAGGAGCCCCTCCAGCCGAAACAAAAAAAGGTTAGGCAAGCGGCAAGCATCAAGGCCCCTTTCTTACCCTAAACCCTAAACCCCTAAACCCTATAAACCCCAAACCCTAAACCCCAAACCCTAAACCCCTAAACCGTTAAACCCCTAAAGCCCTGTGAAGAACCCGTGTCACCGACCCGATAGTCTGCTGCAAGCGGCGGGGTCACAGACATCACCGGCGGGGAGAAGGAGATCCAAATCCTGTCTGTATGTTTGGGTTTTTGAGGTTTGGGGGTTTAGGAGTTTAGGGGTTTAGGGTTCGAGGGTTTAGGATTGTAGGTTTTAGGATTTGGGGTTTTAGTTCAAGCGTTGGGCTTGCGGCTTTCCGGTTTAGTAACTCAGGGCTTTGAGTGTCTTACGGCTGTCGGAGCCCTGGCTCTTTTGACACTTTGGTCTTGCGTCTAATTAAGTGCCTAGGACCCTTCTTGTACTGAATCGCGAAGCCAAGCACAACGACCTCGGAACCGACCTGGGCCTAAATCAAAGTTTGAAGTTCTTCAAACTCATGCCAGACGCTCATACTCCGAATGCTTGGGTACAAAGCCCTCGAAAGCACGACAGGAACCATGGTTGGAGTGCACGAGCAGTGCACGATTAGTCTTGCCTCTACACCAAGTCCAACGTCGGCGTGCCGACTTTTCGGAGTTGAGGCTGGGATTCGCCGAGAGTCGGAATGACGAAGAGGGCGGAGCGCCATCGGAGAATGAAGGGCAGCCTGGGTGTGGCCATGATACTCTGTCGCCGATCGTAGTTTTGATGATGGTGATGGTGGTGATGAGGGTGGTGACGGCACTGGTGGTGGCGGTCTTGGTTGTGGTGGTGATGACATGATGACGGCAAAACAACATGGATTTCACGGGTGCTGCGCGACGATGCTGCTACACTGCTTACTGGATGTACATGGGTTGAGCAGCTCCGTCCGCATCGGCAGCTCAAATATAGAAAAGACAGTCAGCCGGAAAACAAAGAAACACAACCAACAAAAGGAATAGCCCCAACTCTGGAACTCTGAGATTCCGACAACCATCTTAGTTAGATTCTCCCACTTTAAACTTCACCCCCCCCCCAAATCCTAAGAAGGCCAAACAAGACCCTTAAGCTGCAAATCCTTTAGCCCTTTAGCCCTGAATCCCATGAAGGCCAACCACCTTCAACCTCAGATCCTTTAGACCTCTAGCCCTCAATCCCTTCCCTGGTTCTAAGTTCAGTATAGTACCCGCACCCACCTCTATGGGTAGAGGGCTTCTGGTTTTACTAACCGGCTTAGGGTTTAGTTTTAGGTTACCGCGAAATCCATCTCGGAACTCCAGGGCCGAGATGCTGTGTTCCCTGACCGTTCCTGAATCAGAGTTTGCGGTTTGGGGCTGCAAGTTTCAGGGTTTGGGGGTTCAGGGTTTAGGGCTCTGTGAGTCAGAGTCTACGGTTCTTTTTTAGGAGTGCCAAGCGCTGCCGACTGTCTTTCTGTACAACTGGAAAATATGCGAAGCGCGCGTAGGCGCAGTACTCAAGCGATCGCCGAAGAGCTTGTTTTTCTGAAGCATTTGTTTGAAACCTAAGAAATCCCGTCTATGGTCCTTATATTGGGCGGAGTGGTCTAGGTAGTGGTTCAAGTATTCTAACGCACGTGAAGAAACTAGTTCGAACCAATACCTTGCTGGATGGCCTCTGTGTCTTGATTTAGTAAATTTAATGCGATCTTTGTACCCGGGGGAGAATACTACATGATGTTGGGGGAGGTGTGGCGGAGTAGTCGTGGCTTGTATAAGGAGCTTGAACTGTTGCGACAAAAGAGTTTGGGAAGGGATGGGATGTTTTCCTGAATTTTCCCATACGGTTTTGTTGGGAATCCGGGAGTAGTATGAGGCTTTGATGTTGATGGCTCTTCTGAGGTACCTAAAATACCAGCCGTCTATGGTTCTGAAGTGGTGCTTTTCAAGGGTGAGAGTTTCCAAGGCGTACGTATATACTGGGACGATGCAGGCGTGGAAGATTCTGGATTTTACTGGGCGGGGTAGTCTGCTCTGCCATACATGTTGGAGCTTTAGGAAGGCCGCGTGAGCTTTAATAGACCTAGCTGCGATTGCGGCTTTGGTTGGCTTGTCCCAAGTAACCTGTGATCCTAAATACTTGGTTTCGGAATTTAAGGGGACAGGAGAGTTATCTGCGTAATGGAGTTGACCTGGCTGAGTGGGGTGGCGGAGTAGCTCGGTTTTCTCTAAGTTTAGCTGCAGACCGTAAAGGGTGGCTTCTACCTGGACAGCTTTCAGGATCTCCTCTAATTGTGCGCCCGTGACGCCCATAAGTAGAGTATCGTCCGCGTACTCTAAATCGTAGATGGGCTTGCCTACCGACCATGTGTTTTGTGGAACGCCATGGGTTCGAAGTCTAGCGTCAACGTCTGAAAGGAGTACTGTCATTACCATGATGAATAAATAAGGGCTAAGTGGACATCCCTGCCGAATACCTGTGTGCGGAGTACCCCAGTGCTTAGTACCATCAGGAGCAGAGGTGCAGAAGGTCGGGCAGGTATACATATCCTTAATGACTTCGAGGTAAACAGGGTGAACCCCAAGGCGGAGTAGTGCTATGTGCATGGATTCATGGTCGATCTTGTCAAAGGCTTGCTTCCAATCTAAAAACAGCAACTGAAATGGTTGGCCTGTTTTGGCGGAGTAGTCTTGTAGGCGGCGCAGGATGAAAAGTGGTTGCGTTGTTCCTTTGTTTCGGCGGAAGCCGAACTGCGTGTGGCGGAGTGAGTGATCGTGCGCCTCAGCTAGTCTTTTTTGAAGCATTGCTGCGTAAATTTTATAAAAGACGTTGAGGAGGCTGATAGGGCGATATGAGGCAGGGTCTGAGGTGGGGCCTTTACCTTTGTATATGCTGACGACCAGGGCCTCCTTCCATGCTGCAGGTATTCTACCCTGGCGTAAGCAGGCGTTGTAGAGGCGGAGTAGCTGTTTTTCCCCAAAGTGATCTAGCAGTTTGATGGAGTCGGCTCTGAGGGTGTCCAACCCTGGAGCTCTGTTTTTGCGCAGCTGCTGGATAGCTTCGGTTAATTCTTCATGTGTGAATTGAAGTTTCCCAGGCTACCAGCTTGACACGGCTAGTTACCGGTAAGTCAACCCTTGTGACCTTTTTCAACGGGGGACTTGGGCCAAGTGCAGTCGCGTACAGACATAGCTAAGGACCATAGAAATAGCAATGGAGGCAGGGTAAAATCTACACCCCCCTCGCCGTGCTGCTCGAGCTAAGGCGGATAGTACATGGCTCCAGGTTGCCCTGGGCTTCAACGGTTTAGAAGACTTGCCAAAGCGAGCATTTATAAAGCACAACGGGGAAGCCCTGCAGGTCCGAAGCAAATCAAAATGAGGACTCAGCGCCTATGGGTGCGGTTCCATGCATCCCACTCGGCCTGAGTGTAACCTCCACGACGCTGGCGATAGTACTCGTCCCACTGGGCCTGAGTATAGCCTCTGTACATTGGCTCAGGTGCTGTCGTGCGACCACGTCCCTTTTGGGATGGGCGGTTCTGGACTGCGGCCTGGCGATTGCGCTCTGCCAAACGTTCCGTTTGGTCTGTCTGGTTCTGAGCACTACGGAGGCTATCGGTAAGAATCTGCCCGATCTCAGTTGTGATGCCTTCAATTGTGGTAGCCGACACATAGACCTCGCCGTCGAAAGTCAGGATCCTTTTCGCAGCATCGTTCACTGCTGCCACCTCAGCATAAAGTCGCGGAGGGAGGAATGCACCGAGGTAGGTCAAGCCGATGGGGACATCCGCGGTATCATCGATAAACCGCAAGTTCCTCAACGGCTCCACTTCGCAGTGGGCATAATAGACCAACTTCGCAGGCGGGACGTTGCCACCACCATAATGGGAGCCGGCACGCAAGTAGCGCTGCTCCTCGCTGCGTCCTGGATCGGGAAGCACAGCGTTCGACAGGTGATCGAATTTCTGCATGTCCTCGAAGTTGCGGCCCTCTTGCATCATCCTCACGTTGAACTGCGCGTCCTTCTCGAAGCGGTCGGACACGGTGTCAAAGTTCAACTTGGCGGCCCTGATCTTTCGGTCTTTGGCGTCACGAATGGCGGCAGCCTCTGCGCTCATCTGACCACGTTTCTTTGGTCCCTCGCCCAGGCCTCGAAGGTCACTCGCAAGGAGATCATCGATGGGCTTCTGGGCTCCGGTCGCAGCGGTGGCAAGAAGGCGCTGGCGGAGTCTCGAATTCTCAAAGACTCGCTTTGTGATTTTCTTAGAGTCATCCGTCTGGGGAGCCTTGCAACGGAGGCAGAACAGCATGCCATTGGCAACGACTGCTGCGCACTCGCGGCATGGGTGAGAGCCAAGTGGGTAAGGCTCATCCTCACCCGCATCCGCTGTATCGCCTTCATCGACTTCAACCTCAACCTCAACCTTGGTTTCGTCAAGGTCGAATGCACCAGCAGCATCAGCAGGCTCACCCTCGCGGGTGGCTTCATCCAAGTCCATGCTTTCGTCTTTCTCGGCGATTGCGGCGGGCTTGGGAACCACCTTCGGCATCTTCTTTGAAGCAATCGCTTTGGGAGCGATAGCCGCCTGTTTTGGGGGCGGTGCCGATGATGAGCTTGCTGCTGCGGCCTCCTCATAGTCGCGCTTGGCGCGGAAAATGCGCTCTGGCTCACCCTCACGGGCGGCTTCTTTGTGCTCGGCGACATAGAGCGGGAGGTTCTTGTTGCTGGTGTCGATGGCGGACAGCACGCAATCGGGAGGCACATTGTCCCGTGTGAGGACGCCGTCGGTCTCCGTGACGAAGAAAACACATCCAGCGGCGATTGCTCGCTGCGTGTCTATCGTCAGCTCAATCGGCTGGTTGGAGCGCATTCCACTCTTGTAGTGAGTGTCGTCCAACTTGTACGGGGACAGGTAGTTGTGGGACCTGTCTGACCTCGCGGAGCCGGCGATCATACCATCGCGGAGGATACCCTTCATTCCCTTTTCATTCGTGCGGTGGAAGAGCTTCGGGGGGGTATCCTCGCGGGAGAGCACAGTGACCCCCCTGACGCTGCTCTGCAGGTCGGCCTCGTACTCGGACAATCCGCTGTAGAACCTGGTCGCGAGGAAGAAGTCCGCGTCCGGGTTATTGCCGATGAGCTTGGAGTTGTGCCCTTGGGCCATCCTCACCCGGACAGGGAATAGCGGCTGACCCAGGGTGTCCTTCATGGGAACATCAATGCCCAAAAGTCTGATCCGTCCCTTATTATCGGCTTTCGCTGCGCGTAGCAGCTGCCTCACACCCCAGCGTGCGTTCCGTGCCGTGTTGAAGACCTGGAGCAGAGTGTCAACGTCTGCCCAGCACCCACGGTCAAAGATCAATGCAGGGAAGTCGTCCATTTCATGGCCACGCAGCAGCTTGGTGAGGAACTTCAGGTCACCGTGTTTGAATGTCACGTGCCTGTCTCCCACAATGTCCTCCGGGTTGAAGGGCTTCATCAAGTGCTTCTTGCCGTTGTAGAAGTACTCATTCGGAAGCTCTGGCACAGTGGCAGCCCCTTGCGGGGCGCTTTCATCAATGAACATGAGCCTTCGCACGGCGTCCTCGTCTCGGTCAGACTTCTTAGTCTTCTTCGGAGGCGCTGGCTCAACAACACGTCCAATCGATGATGGGATGGGGTCGACTTAAGTGGTCGCCCTCATCCACCAGTTCCACCGTGCCCGGGGTATTGTAGGACACCTTACCATCTGCGTCCTGGGTGACAATGTCATTGACGCACTCCGCAACAGCACTAACATCAGTGGTTGCACCGATCCTTGGCACATCCTTGCGGATGGCTTTATCCATGGGTGGCCCCTCGGAGATCTTAGTGACGTCGGTTGCGTCAGCGGCATCTGGGGCTTCCCACATCTTGTCCTCCTGGGTGACCGGCATTGGCTTTGCTTGTTTCGGGTTCATAAGCTGGTCCTTCTCCGCACGCCACTGCTTGAAGACATCCTCGAGCACTGGGTTGTTGGCACCGGAGCCAGTCTCAAAGTGCTCATAGCGAACAAGCAAAGCCCTGACACAGGGTGCCTTCTGGGCAAGCCATTCGCTCCTGCTTGCATTGAAAGTCGCATGCAAGTAGGTCTGGAATAACTCGCGGTTGCGAGGGTCTTCACTGGCGTGAAAGCTGTCATACATTTCCAGCTTTTCGCCAAGGAGCTCGCGGTTTGCACTTGCAGACCGCGCTGCCTGAACTCTTCGAACATAGCGGCATTGAAGTCGTTGTAGGCTGAGTGGAGTTGGAACAAGTCCGCCTCCACCTGCCCAATCACCTTCACAAAACCAATGTCCGGCTCGCCCGCGAGGGCGGCTAAAACATCCGCTGCCCTTCTCACTTTCCGTGCGACGGTTTCCGTTGTGACATTGGGATCTCTGTAGGCGAGTCCCGGTCCTAGCCGCGTGGGGATGCAGCCCCACTGGCCGGAGATCTCGTTCCCGCACCACCAGCAGATCACGTCGATGGTGTGGTCCGGATAGTTGCTCCGGAGCTCCTTCACATGCTCCTCGACCTGCCAGACAATCCACGCCAAGGTTTTACCCCAACACATGGTGTAGCGAGTCTGTGCCCATCCCAGCGTCCAGCTTGCGATGTTCACTTCCGCATCCAAGTCGGCCTTGACGAACACTCCCCGCCTGTTCTTCTTGCAGAGTGCAGTGGAGCTGTCTGACACGACTATGATGGCTCGCTTGGCCTTGGGGCTCAACCTTGCGGTTGGCTTCAACTTGGCGAGTCCCTCGTCACTGAGGTCAGCCATCTGGCGCAGAGCCACACAGGTTGCGTCGGCATGGGTCAAGGATACCCCAGCCGCGCATTGTGTGGATACGCAGCTGTACGCCGACTCCAAGAGCTGGCTCTCATGATCGGCGCCGAGCGAAATGATACCGTTGTTGAGGGCGGCGGATTGGAGAATGGTTTTCATGGCCTTGGTAACTCCATTCCTGTCTGCTTCGGAGGTGTTGACCCTGCAGAACTCGTCGCTCACAACGATGGCTGCCATCTTGGGGATCGTAGAAGTCGCTTCGGGCAAGTCGAGAAGATCAGAACCAGCTGAAATTGCAATGGCAGGCGTGCACATAAAGGAAGCCAAGATTTCATGGTCAAGGCTTGCAGTTTGTTGTGTGTTTGTGCACTCGAGCGATGTGTGTGCAAACGAATCATTTTCGAAACGAGAACACGGTTTGTTAAGCCTACCCCCCTCATCGAGAGGGCAACCAACACACCTCAAACAAACCATTGCCTTCTGAGCTGGGAGCTTCAACTGAGCCGTAGGCAAGAGGAACTGTGATTGATGTAGGAATTGTTTTTGCTTTTTGTTGAACTTCTGGTACCCCCCTGAAGAGTAGGCGATGAAGGAATGTCGTTCGCCAGTGTAGGGTTGTACACCATGTTTTGTCGATGGATGCAGCAGAGTAGGCTTGCGGTATGTGTTGCAATTGTAGCCTTTGTGGTCTTTGCCATGATCATCTGTGTATATTCCCGGTGGTCCCAACTGGCTCGCGCCCTCAATCCACAGTGTCCCCCCTGTATTGTTACCGAAGGAGAACGTCAGGTTGTACGATTCTTTCTGATTGTACTTATCCGTGTGGATGCGGGCCTTGCCATTGAAGTTGAACACGAACGAAGTCCATGTAAATCCTTTCGGAGATGATCGCTTAACAAATTCATTCACATACCTGCAAATCCATGGGTAATGTTTTGTGCGGTTGGTAATACCAAAGCGCCCACCATGGACCCAAGCGCCGAATACCAAGTATTTGGATATATTCTCAGAAGCCATAAACGATCGCGGTTTTGCCAATGATGCCTTGAGATTGGTACGAATAAGCCCAGCTAGCTTCTCGAAGGTCTTGAAGCTGTAATCGTTAGCCTCGAACGATTGTTTAGCGAAGTCCTCGACAACCTTTGATGCATCCGGAGCTGCTGCTACCGAAACCTTGTTGTCGACCTCGACCTTCGACTCGGGTTTGCACCCGGCTACATTCGCGCTGGTTGTATGTCCAATAAGCTTCAAGGCATGCGTCCACTTGTTCTTTTCAGTGAAAGGCTTCGTGAACACATCCGCCACTTGTTCGGCTGTACCAACATTCAGTAGCTTGAAATGCCCAACCTCATATTGCTGCTTTAGCCATGAGAAACTCACCCTCTGTGTCCGATCAGTATGTCGTAGAACACCAGCTTGCCCTAGCAACAAAAGAGTGATTGTCGCCTGGTTATCCTCCATATGTCTAACCTCAAAACTTTCAGGAAGTTGGACACAGAGGCCGTTGATGTCTGCGATTGACAACCCATCCGGTCTAGTGGACCCATAACGAATTTCGTCAAGTTCAGGATCAATGCGTGCAACTATTGAATCTACCCTCTCAGCCCTTGGCTCGGCCTTGCGGCCGGCATCTCCACGCCATAGGAAATACCACAAGCTCAGGCAAGGTAGACCTTCGGCACGTAAACCGTGGTTCGCTGCTACAACTTCGGACTCAGTAGAGCTCATTGTGATAGATGTTTGTTTCTTGCTGAAGGCATTGAGGGGGAAGTACGTGTTTGGTCCGACCAAAAACATCGCACATCCTGTAGTCGATTTTGAATCGAATTCGCCCGCAAAGTCGGAATCACTGAACAACCACAGTCTGCAATCCATTATGCTGTCGCCTATGAAACCGCTCATAGTGACATCAAGCGAAGAGTTTATGTAGCAAACCAACCTGTGAAGTCCCAAGTCGCAATCTGGACTCCACTTGGTCACCCTCGACGCCAAAGACTGTGTTGCCCTTAGAAGATCCCATCTGGCCATGCGAGCAGCGAACAAAATCTTCATTAGTACCTTACTAGCAATAGGTTGCAAGCGCCCTGCCTTCTCTCCTTCGGAAGCTGTTGGCAAAGCCACACGTAGCTCATGGAAGGGGGTTGCAGCTGGTTTCAGGGTCTTACGCTCTACCTTAGCAAGCTCGCAGTACCGATCAACGCAAGAGTCGAGAAAGTCCTTCATATCGTACGTGATGCGAGTGACTGGCTTGGTCATTGCACCGGGCTTCTCTTTAACGTCTTGCGACAAGGTAACAAACTTGCTCTGCTTCGCCTCCTTTTTAGCCTCAGACTTGTTACGAACCGGCTTGCCCTTGCGGGCAGCTGCAACTGCCAGCTCGAAATCAGACTGTTCCCGGCCTGCGAGGTCGAAGTAGGTTTCGCCGTCCCACCAATCCTGAAGACAGCGATCGCGCATTTGATTGCAACTGTCAACAACAACTTCCTCCGACTCACCCTTGCGGGTGGCTTTAGCCACCACAGTGTATCTCCGAGGGCCAATCCCCGGGAACATTCTAGCATCATCCTCGTTGGGGACATAAAGTCTTTTGCGAGGATAACGGTGATGTCGGATTGCTATGAGATTCTCAGGGTCAATGTCCCAATAATCTTCTTTTCTAGCAGGAGTTGCAGCTGATGATTCGGGCTCAAACACGTGACGAAAAGGGTGTGCTTCCTTGGGCAGCTTGAGGTTGTGTTCTTCCTTGTGCATGCACCCAAAGTATCTACCAATGGCTTCCGGAAGATCCATATCAATGACGCTCGAGATCAAGTCCCATCCCTCCTTGATAGAGTTCTTAGGGCCAGCGAGTTTAAAGTCATCGACGTATACCACTAAAAGCAGCTTCTTCTTCGGGTGGTAGAATACACTCTTCCAAATGTCAGTCAATACTGCCTCGAACCCGACTTTCTTCAACTCAGCTTCGCAGTGATGTTCCCAAATCCCCCCTGAATCGGGGTGTCCGTAAAGTGCCAATTTGAGTGGGACGACAGGATCTTTCATGCCCTGCCATGCCTTAGGCCAGCGATTGCGAGGCAATCGTACCCAAGTGGCAACCCCTTGGAACAAGGCTTGGGTGTATGCTTGCTTGGCGTCGGCCTGCTGGATGACGTAGCCAGGTTGTGAGCCGAAGACGTCAAGAATCTTTCCTGCTTCCATGGATGCAGGACTGCTCGACATCTCCGCGAAGAGCGCGTGATCGGCGTTTTCATCAAGTACTTTGTTTCCCTGGAATACCGAACGTCCCTTATACTTACGGTTAGGGTCGCCTTCTTTCAGCTCGGCTCCCTTTAGGGTACCAATCTCAAAAACATTGCCAAAGTGAACCTTGGTTTGAGATTTCTTAGCTTCGTTGGCAACCGACTCGAACTCCCTGACTTTGCCTTGTACCCAGCAGCCCTTGTCAACCAATTTCTGCCATTCTTTGTCCATGGCAGCCTGCGCCTTAGGGTTTGTTGAAATCTCCTTAGACGACAGGACCTTGGCGACAACAGCATACATCTCATCTGCGATCTGAAAAAGCTTCTTGTCATATAGCCCTTTGAGTCGTTCCCGATGTTCCTCGCTACACCCATGTAGGACTGGCATTGCAGGTACCACCTTTACAGCTTCACGATACAGTGCCTCATTCTCCTCATGTAGCTTCTTCTCATGTTCTGCAATTGCTGTCGCTCTTTGTCTTTTCGACATAGCCTTCCATGCAGTATGATCAATAGCGTTAGGGCGGTTCTTGTTGTTCTTCTTGACCAAACATTCCCCACTCCACGTATAACCATACGGTGGTTCTTGCGCTGCTACTGCTGCGCTGGACTTCAGCTTCTGCTTCACAGAGAACGGAACATCATCAAGCAATGCTGCACGGGAATCAGACTTTGACTCACCCTTGCGGGTGGCTTCTTTCGCGTCCTTCGGCGGAGGATCTTTATCACGATCAGGACCAAATAGCTCTGGGAACATTTCATCCAGGTCTTCGCTAAGTTGTTCCTGAATTGTGGCTTCATCGTATCCCCCCCCTTCCTCCAGAGGAGGATGCGGGTTTTGCTCATCAAGGACATTGTGATGTTGTGCATCAAGGCTTGGTGGTTTATCCAAGGCAGGCTCTTGCAACAAAGGAAACTTAAAGTCACCATCTGGTAGCTCCAGTCTCTTAGTGCGAAACACACGTAGATCTTCGTTTTCCAACGCGGCTTCGATGTTGTGTAGGGGAGCAACAACGTACTCAAGCTTGAAGATAAAACCAGGTTGGATGTGATACCCAAGGAATATACCTTCAATCCCTGTGCCAGAAAACTTGGATCGTTCAGGCTTGCGTTGCTTCTTCGGGGCCCAGTAGAGGACTTTCGCTCCAAAGGGAATGCGCATGCCGTTGAACTTTTCACCGTACCTGATTTCCCACGGAATCTGACCATTGTCAATCCTCGCAGTGATGTTAAGACACATAGCATGATGTTGCGATGCAAGAGGCCAATAGCGATCTGGAAGTCCTGATTGCACTAAATTGGCCCGTGTGCCTTCCAAAATGGTTCTGATTTCTCGCTCGATTACGGCCTTGTTTTCGTTCACATACTCTCTAGAAGTGTTGTGACGAGCGCGAAGCTGTCTGGCCGCAAAGTCAAACTCCAACGCATTGTCGGAATATATAACCTTTACCTCATCATCTGTACCAAGGAAGTGCAACATGTCTTCGTAGCACTGCTCACCAGACTTTGTCTTGGAAGGGTACACGTATCTAAACTTAGAATACACGTCCTTCACAACATGAGCCACGGTTTCATCTTGGAACCCGTAATCCTTGGCATCAGCGGTCACGATGTGATCTACTGTGATGTGGTCACCGAACGATTTACTGTAGATTGTAGAGGATCCACCAGATTTACGCGCCTGGGGCGCATACATCTTGGCCCTTTGGCAAATGGGGCAGAACGGATTCTTTGGTCTATGGGTAAGTCGATGTTCCAAAGACACAGCCTCAGCCCTCAAGGAAGCTTCATCCTTCTTAGACTTTGGCATTGTGTATGGCTCGACATCGCTGTCGGCTTGCGCCTCAACTTCCCCTTCAGGCAAAGCAAACAATGTGATAGTCGCAATAGTCCCTTCAGGTACTTCCCCATAGATTCCGTCCAATTCGTCAATGTTGACTGAATCCTCCAACAAAGACCACACGTCATCCTTGAATCCCCAAGTAGTCCGGATTCTATACCTTGGGAACTTAGGAGCCGGTGTTCGAAGCGTCTTTGGGAAATGTGCCACCTTAGCAGCGGGGCTGCCGTTGATGACAGTCCAACCTGCCTTTAGCAGTTGCCTCGTTTCCACCCCAGGAATGGGAGGAATGCAATTCGCCATCTTTTCGATGGGATCTTCTGCCGCGCCAGCTGGACCTTCAGGTTCGTGTTCGTGCTCTCCCCTAGCTGGTGCGGCGTGCCCTTGCGGGCAGCTGTTTACCGAAAACCCGAACCAGACTTGACAGAGGTCGGTGCAACCTTGCTGCCATCAGATTCTGAGGACTTTGCCGCTAAGCATGCCATCAATGGTCCTCGGTCGCCAAATACGGGGACATTGCCTCGGAGTTGGCAAATCATCTTCTGACCGTCTGGGCAAATGAAATATGGCGCCTCACCCGCTGGCCAGTGGAAAGAGAACCCCTGTTCCATGCACTTCTTTCCTACAGAGCAAACTGCAGGTGTGTTGGGGAGCTCAACGAACTGCAATGGGTTCCTCAATGACTCAATGTAGACCTCATGCTTGGTATCAGCGTCTACTGGTCCGTTAGCAGTGATCAAACTCACTGGGTTGGAAGCAACCTTCTTAGCCTTGCCCTTGAAATGGGCCTCCAAATCAGAGTGACTAATCAGATCTTCCTCGCTACCGGTGTCTGCGATGATTTCGAGGTTCTCACCTGTCACCGCCGCTGCAGCAAGTTGGGGCAGGGGAATTGCTTCTTTGCAGTGAATGCAGAATCCTTCTCTACCCCGACACCTGTAGTTACACTTGACCCGAACCTTAAGCTTCATCCCGTTCACTGCTGATTCCAAGTGACGGGCATTCTGCAAAGCTTCTTCGGTGTCCTCTGGAATTGATGGTGGGCATTGCTCCGCAGACTTGTACCTGAATTCGAACTTGTGCTTGTCTGGTACGAAGCTCCAGCCTTCACCTTCAGGCGGGATGTCAATGATTTCTGGCCTTAGGAACTGGACCTTTCTGCTTCGGGGCTTTCCGGCAGGGCCCTTGCGGGCTGCTACTGCGTAGGCTTTCCCAGCATCGGCCGGTGACTCACCCGTGAGGGTGGCTGTAAGGGAAAGACAGCAAGCGGCTGGCTTGTCCTCACTCTTTGGCCTTTTCTTACTGGGTCGCCTGCGCTTGCCGGAGGGCGATCTCTTCCCGTCCTTGCCAGCCTTATCGCCTTTGGCCGGGACAGAGGGTGCGGCATCCTTGTGCATGAATGGGCAATTCTTACCGTTCTTGCAGGTGCCTTTGGGGAAAAAGATGCAAGGGATCTTGGAGGTGTCCTTCTTCTCCCCACCTTTACCGCCTTTACCTCCACCTTTTCTCGAAGGGGTACGTGGAGGTGTTCTGCCCCTTGTCTGTTCAGGAGTAGGCTTCACGTGCTTGTATGGGCACTTATCACCTCGTGGGCACTTCCCACGCTGGAAAGCGTAGCAGGGCTTGTCCTGGCTTCGGCCGCGAGGGGTGTTCGGGGTATCGGAAGGAGCAGGGGCACCAAATCTGGCACCGTGAGCTTTGGCGATTGCTGTGCGGTTTTTGCGAGTCCTATCTCTTGCCAACAGCTCTTTCACGCATTTGACCAAGTAGTCATAAGTGCGCTGCTCTGTTCCTTCCTTAGCCCTACCCAGGGGCTCCAAGTCTTCATTTGCAGACCACGCACTAATGTCAGCGATTTTGGCCATCACAAGTATGTTGCTCGATTTGCTGTACGCACCAAATGGGTTCCATGAGTGTGTGCCAATTCGGCCAACGTACCCCCGAAGATGGGCTATATGTAGCATAGAGGGGTTCATAGGATCGGATCACAACAAACGTTTTGAAAGTTTTGGGGATTCGGGGTCCGAAAATCGTGGTTTACGCATCGAAGAAGCAGCCGCTGTCGTTGCACTCCGGATGGCCCATGCATTTGCAGATAGTTCGTGTGGTGTTTAATGTGTATATGTCAGCAGGATCATTCGAGCAATTTACACAGTCAGGATCATGCGAGCAATTTACGCAGGGCGCTTCCCCAAATGTAGGTGGGTTCAGATCAATGTAGGGTTCAATTTATGCAGGGTGGTTTCCTTTAGCTAGATCTTCTGGGCCCAGCCTGGTGGGTTCAGATCCATCCAGGGTGCGTTTTTTACAAAATTATCCTGCTGTTCTGCCTCACTTGCATGTGTCGCCCATGCTCGAATGCATCGTGGGGCCTTTCGATGCCAGAGTCCCAGCATCTGTGTGCACTGGTTATGCATATACGGGTCCTGAGATACATATATTAATTTATAAGTGTAGATTGCGATCGCGAGGTCATCTGGAGGAGTTTCCAGAGCAGAGCTTGCGGGCTCATGATCGATCCAGAACTCCGGCGCCGGTGGCTCGAAATTCCGCTGCTGATGATGCCGATGTCGGTGCTTCTGCAGATCCAGCTTGGCAGTGTGATGGTGCGCCCCCTCCCGCCCCAGCATGTAGACGTGCCTGCCGGCTGTGACTGTGCATGCTTGCTGCAAAAACCGCATGAAGCAAGATTTTGTTGGTCAAGATCTTTTGATCCCGAGTCGGCACCGGGGTGTGCTATAGAGGCCTGCAGCAAACTTCATTATGCTAGGGGAACATTGCATGCTGTTCCTGATTTGGGAGGTCATGGCTAGCATGACGAAACCCGAGACGAAGGCTTTGCACCGCCTTCTACTGGAGGATCAGTGCTTCGTGTGATACAGCGGTGCTGGTATAAGAATCCACAATAAATTTTCAGGACCTTCTCAACGATTGGTTGACTTCGGACAAGAACCGGCTACCAGCCATTCGCAAGGTGACTGACAGCGCTAGCAAACCAGGGATCGCATCGCATCATGTGTGTGGGCTGGCCAGGCCAAGACCATGATTGGACTAGTCCAGCAGGGAGTGGACAGCGCTGAGATGGTGGGGTGCTTGGTATCATGTTCACATACAGGAGCATAAAAATATTTTGATGTCGCAGTCCTGCGAGGTTGAGAAGCATTTTGCATTGCTGTGCGAATACTATTCGTGCTTCGGCACCCTGGTGCCCCTCCTTTCGGTGCACCAGGACAGCCGGCGAGTGGTCGTGTGGGATTGAGCTGTGCTTTGTACACACATGGCAGGAAGTGATCATGAAGCTTTGCAAACGATATGCAATTTTGGGCATTTCTGTCAAGGCAAAGGCGATCAAGGAGCTTCAGTGTTATCTGCATGTTCTCATGCAGCTGTCTAGGATCGTAGTTTTCAAATTCATGAGATGAGGAGTGGGCAGGTGGACAGGCCTCGGTTCTGAGAGTCATGGCCTGCCATGGGCTCTTTCTTTGAAAGAGGTCCAAGGGTTCCAAGAGCCTCGGTGTTTATATCTAGTGTCCGATGCATAATATGTAAGTAGCACCGGCTCCTATAACCGCCCATCTCAGGATCCCCAAGTTGCTCATCCTCAAGCAACTAATTCGAGACCTGGTCGTTCAAGAGCAAGAGCAAGAAGGCCCGTTGTAATTCAAATTCTCGGGTGCACATGCTTGCCTGGGGTCAGGATCCGGAGATTTGCTATGTACTGTGAGGTGGGAGTAATATGGCCCCGGACGACGTCTTGGATAGTGCGTATGAGCTAGCGACGGCAGCACCCGGTGACGAAAGCGATGTGGATCTTCAGTTGCATTACTGTACAACATTATCCCAGAGACTCCAATATCCCTTAATTAAGGAATATATTAAATTATGGTAGGATCCCTAATATGATTTAAGGAATATTCCTTAATTAAGGGATATTGGAGTCTCTAGGATGTAACCGGTATGAGTATGCATGATGTAGCTATCGAGTTGCTGAGGCTACCGGCTCCTCCTCTGACAGTCCGGAAAGGGCGATCGAGGCTCCCGATCCCAATCTAACGACTTACTGCATATGGTTCGTCGACTTGAAAGATATAGCTCTAAGCCTTTACATAACATCCAGGATCCGGAGGCACTCGGCTGGGTCTGGAAAGACGACTACGGTTGGTTCAAGGACGGCAGCTCGAAGGCTCACACAATTTTCCGCTGTCGCACAGATCGACTGTACGTGTGGTGCAGATCTACTAGCTAGCTACAGCCCCGATCCAGATCTAGAGTTATTCCCAGCAGTCGATCTAATTTGGGAGGGGATGGATAGGATGTAGGTG